TAAGTGTAGTAAACAGCAAAAACATGATTATTTACAGAATGAACACACTAACTTTCAAGTTACCATACAATCTAGAAATAACTACATAAAATGTCCTGCCACTCCATACAGTTTATCTGTTTTGCTTTCATTGTCTGAAGATATCACTATTCTGATGCTCTTTAATGATGGCTACATGCTGACATTTGCTGGGCCCAGTATAAAACCAGATTAAGTTCTATGAGTTTCTATGAGCATAGTTCAACATTTGAAGCACTATTAGGGTGCTATGTTTGTTCATTCAGCCAGGAGATAAGTCAGCACAAGACCTGGCAACCAGCTAAATCTGCAACATCTCCCCACAGGAGCAAATCTCACCCTTCTAGAGGTACAATCCAAACGTTACCTCTGATTTGAAACTTTTACAATGTTTTCACTGTAAATTTCCCATAAGGCATCTCTCAACTTCCCTGTTTGTCCCATACCCTGTACTGCATCAAGAAACTCCACCTCTACTGTACAAAGTGAAATAGCATCTACAGATTTTCCTAGAGCAGGATATATATCATAGAGTAATGAGCAAGTACTGAATTTATGAGATGTAAGGACCATTCCTTCTCTTACTAACTTCATCAGAAGCAAGAGCAAGCTAATAAGTAAAAAGAGAAAAATATTCATTTCCTGCCCGAGTGCCAGTGTATAAAAATGGATTTTTTGTTTCCATCTAAAGTCAGCTGATCACTGTTAATGAGACACATTGTCAAAAAGTCATTCTAGTGAGGCAAGTAAATAGATGCACCAGGTAAGGGAGGAATGTTGGAATAAAGGACAGATATATCATCTCAGCACAGACCATCTAGGAACACAGCATCTATGTTATGCCTAAAATAATTAAATGATGTCTCTATGATCTATATCAGAAACCTGGAATCCCCTGATGACTTTGACAACAAATGTAATAAGCATTGCCTCAGACTGCCTCTTCCTACTGCCAGTATTGTCCTAGGCACAACAGACGAGACAGTAACTTACAAATTAACATCCCCAACACAACCACAAATCAGTGTTGCTACTTCCATAAAACTGGTAACCGTGTCAAACACTCTCCAAAAGCAGTAAAATACTCTCTGACCTTCAGACACTACTCTGTTTGCTCTGAGAAAAACATTTACATCTCTTATCTCCTTAACCTAAAAAAGACTTTTCTACAGAAATAATGTACTGTGAGATGGAATTTACATGGAATCTGTTAAAAATTACATCCTAAGCAGGAAGAAGTTATCTGAAAAGTATCTTTCAAGAACCTCTTTTCAGACACTTGGAATGAAAAGGGAGCAACTGGAGCTAGGCATCTGACAACAGATTTGAACATTGCAATTTTGCATCTCCACAGTAACATTCCCACCACAGTAAACACTTTTCTTAAAAAAGCCACCCAAATACTATGTTCTTACTGTTAGATAATCTAATATAAACTTCTACAAAAGTCTACTTAGTCTAAATGCTACCAGTCTACTAAATGCTCTCATGAAAACACACACAGTTATGCACTAAAATGTACTTTCACAAACATTTACTAATGGACAGGAACAGAGAGTGCAGTAGCTTTTCTCAATAAATAACCACTCCATCTCTTACTTCTTGCTCCTAATCTGCAAATACAGCCTCAAAAGATATGCATCCTCCTTAACCTACAACTACTGCCTATCTTTATTTTCCCTAGATTATCTTATTTGATATCTGAATAAAGTCAGAGAAACTCAGCTGGTATTTAGCTTTGAAGTCTATTGCCTATATTTGACACTTGAAGGAATTGCATGCCCAGTTTTCCTACATTTTCCTATTTATCCAACAAAAAAGTTACCTCTATCTACAAATTATCTCCTAACTATGACTGAAAAGCAGCACAGCTTTTGAATCCTGAGAGGATTCCTTACCCCTCAAACCAGCAGGCCACCAGGTCAGAAAGTTGATGCTGATAGTTTTATTCTCTCATAAACTAAACTGAGAGGAACCAATAACGACAGAAAATCACTTGCAGTGTCTGTTTGACTTCTTGCCAAAGTATTTTTGGGTTTTTTTTGGTAAATTATTCTATAATTCCTCAATTTCTAGCATTTTCAATTTTAGAATATCTCTTCTGATTCCTTCAGATTAAATATGCAGACACTTAAACTACAAACATTTTTTGCTACTTGTTAATGTCATGTTTGGTTCTCAATAACTTACAGTAATTGAAAAAGAAAAAAAGCAAAATATCCACTTGGTATTGAAAATATCTGCACAAACAGAAAACTGTCTCCTGTGTTAGCATAGCTGCCCTCATAACCATTCTGTTTTGCTATCAGTAGTCATGAACAACTTAGCTAATAAGTGTTAAATGATATTATACAATCCATATGTACTCAGAGCAAAAATTTCAGATTGATGTGCAAAAATGCATTTCACATATTTTATTGTTCAGTGATGCACATTACACATATAAACATGCAGTCATTCATTAATCTGTATTGTTTAACACCTGTTTGTATTAACTGTAATGCCATTCTGTCACGATACTGGATGAAGTATGTCTTTGAAACTGTCTGTAGGGGAATGAAATTCAAATTTCTTATTTAACAGACCTATTACTGAATTAATCTCTTTTCCAACTATTTAAATACAGAAAGGATTTTCCCATTCTACATGTAACTCATTACACATAGCCCTTGGTTACATTTGCAGGACCTAGTGAATTTGCTGGAGTTTCCACGGTGTTGCTGGCATTTGTTTCTGCTATACTTACTTCCACAGGAAAACCTCAGGTGTTCCTCCTTGCTTCTCTTCCTACACATTCTGGATTGTGAAACAGGATGTGTGATAGAAGAAAAGGTAACTACATAATCTATCACTTCTCTTTCGGGCCACGTGGGCTGTTAGATTTTAGGAGAGAGACCCTTCCTTTCATAATGGCCAGTGCTGTTGCCAGTCTGCAACTGGACTTTGACAGGATAAACTCCCCAAGAATTTATGGGTGCTGGTGGTATGGTGTCCAGCAGTGGGAACACCACAAGCCAGCAATTTTAAGGCAACATCCAAGATGGATAACGTTGTTGTTATGACATGCACTGTGTTGTGAAGTTGGTGACCCAGAGAACTGTATTTGAAAGTCACGCGTACGAGTTCAGGTTTTCTTCTGCTTACCAACATGACATGAAGTTTACAAGGTTGGTTTTTTTTAACAGTTACTATGTCTTAGTGAAGCAATTGGAATCAAAGTTAGCCTTAAGAGTGCTTAGGTCATAGAGTCCTGCCAGCACACACACAAAGGATATCTTATATATGGTGACAAACTGGCAAATCTCTATTTTTAATAGGAGCATAATATATCCTCTATGAATTTTATTATAAACATATGTTCTCCAAAACTAATGGTACAGTTAACAAACAGCCTTTAAGAAACAGAAGGAGGCTCTCATTGACTCTGCTCTTCCAGAAAAAGAAGAAGTTGTCAATAGTCTCTCCCATTTCTAGAATTGCCCCTAGATGAAAGCTAGACAGCATATCATTTTTGCACTATTAAGGGTAAAAAACAGGTATGTCTTTGGTGGAGAACTGACAAAAAGTGACACCTGTAGCACAGATAAGGGTGATTAATTCAGTGACAAACGTGCACTCATTTCCCTGTGCCAAGACACTCTTTTGAGAACAGGAGACAGAAAGCAAACATATACGAATTCATATATAGAAAATGAAAAGGCTGTCTCTCCATCTCACAGTTTTCCAGTCAGTTTATAATATCCAGATTTTCATTTCTTCAAAGAAGAGAAAACATTGGCTCACCACCGTTAACAACAAACAGTAAGTCACACAGAGTAGAATATAACATTCATGTCTTATTATTTCATATATAAACCTTTACTTTAAAGTGTTATCTAAAATAACATACATGGTTAGCAGACCAAATAGCCCATATAAACTATGCTGAAAATATCATCTTTATTTACAGGAACCTAATTAAAATGAACTTTAATTGCTTTTGAGATCTGCAACAACTTCCTCTCTCAGAGTTGGACTTCAGCCCAGATTAGGCAGAGTTTCAAGGAGGAAGATACCCCTCACACACATGAAGAAAGCATTGGCCATGCAAAAATGTGGCTCACCTGCTTCTGGAAGAGCTGGGAAGCAACTTGCAGGCTTATCACTCTGTTCAGGTGTGATGTCATGTTACCTATCCCACCCTTAAGACTTTATAATTTCATGCAACCTTTGTTCAAGTGAACTCTAAATTTGTTCCTGGTGGTGTTCTGAAATTTAGCAAAAAACCTCCTCAGCTTAGACATCCTTTCATTCTGTTTTAGCTTCTACATATACACATTATCATCATCTTCTAGTACTGCTGGTAATCACAACTACAAGAAATAAGCAAAGAGAAAATCAGAAATATATGACATCATTTTATAGGCACTTCTATAACCATGTAATTCACTGCATAGTTAATTTACCGAATTCCAATATCTGCTTTATAGAAAAACAACTGGCTTGTGTTGTATAAAAATGCTACATTTGAGACCCAAGAAATCCCACAATGCTTTACCAAGCATGAATTATATTCCAGAAGAATCATGCCTTGCAAACAGAGCATCCACTATGCACTCAGAAACAGTTCACACAGAGCCCTAGCATTAGCACTATTAGCACTTGCTGTTTCGTGATTTAATAAAAATGCTCTGCTTCAAAAGAAACAGCTAATCAGATAATCACATTATACTGTATCTCATAAGCTTTGAGCAGTCAAGCTCCCAGAAAAATCATTGAATAAGACAACAGGATTACAGCCTTAATGACTACATGTATTTACCACGAAGCATGGCCAACATTCACACTGAGGTTGCAAGATTATTACATGGTTACCTGTGCTCTATAAAACAGAGATGTCACATTGAACAGATTATAAAATGGTACTGCAGTATTAGATATTATTAGTATGTTATTTTTATTATTATTCATCGTTAACTATGATCAAAACATTAGTACTTCAGTGTAAACACTGCAAAACATATACGTGATTTAACAGATTGAATATTGACAGATTCAAACATTTTGGATCTGTTATCTATCCACAAGATCTAGAAATAAGGCATATGGTCAGCAGAATAGGAGAGTTTAAATAAACAGCCCGAGTGCTTTGCTTTCCTCCCACACACCTTAACTCTGTCAGTTATGCTTCTGGATTCCTCATAGCAAATCTCATCTCTTGAGGAGGTCATACCTGAGGAAGGCTGTTAGCTGGCTGAAACATCATTCTTTTAGTTTTTTCACTTTCCTGTGTACAAAGGAAACAGATAGTGAATAGCTAAAGGGCTTGGTCTTTTTAGAAGTCTTGACAGAGTTTTCTGCTAGGAAGATAACTGTGTGGCCTGAGAGGCTTCATTTGTTCTCGATCGCACACTTATACACAGCTGACACTTTATTCCACTCAGAGGATCTTGACACAAAATTGTAGCACTGATCACATATCTGTGATACAATCTTGACAGTTTTCCCACACAGCCCTGTCAAAACTTCCCATCAGTATCTGTAAACAGAATTAGCAGGGTGGCCACTTAGCAAGCAAATGCTTTTGCTTTTGCAATCTTACAGCATGGCGCCGTTTCCTTTTGGGCTGAAGGCACTCCTGTCCGTACGACGGCCACTGAAAATCCTGGGGTGGCATTTTGCTGTTCTGACTCTCCACTTCTTCAGAATCAGAGTCATCTTGTTGCATGGAAGGAAAATGCCTGTCTGGATAAATCTCCTTCAGTTTGTCCTCAAAGAATTCATCCAGGCATCGTCCAGCCTCAGCAACCTCTGAATCCGGCTGTAAGAGAATCAATAACTATTTAGTGCTACTGCACACAGAAATCATCAAGGATCAAAACCAAATAACTAACCTACCAAATAACTAGCCTTATTTCTGTCTGCTACATCTCCATTAGTCTCCTGCACACTTTCTACAGACCATTAGTCCCTCTGCATTTCCAGTGTAAGTAAAAACCAGATGCTGCTATTAAGGAACACGTTTCTGCACCTCTAATAAGAAGAGATGTGCAGTGAACTAGAAAGAACAGCAGTCATCATTGCTTAGGAATTTCTACGCACTTGATTTTTCCTAGCTATTTTGCTGGCTATGACTGGCTTCTCACAGCAAACCCAGCAACATTCCAAAGAGTTGTCCACTAAGATGTCCCTTTTTAATTTTAGATGCATATGTATCTCAAGTTCTCGGATTTGACTTCATTTCTGTCATTAAAAAACACCCAACGCAATTTCCAAATAACGAAACTGAATAATACTTCTGTTTATCCCAATCCCATATCTGATTTCCAAAGAACCAGTGTGACAGCTTGAAAGAGCAATCCTCTGCTTTCTATCCCCCCCAGCCATGCACACTAGAAACCTACATAATTGAACTTCGCACAGTTCCAAAACATGAGACGCACGTCAGTCACAAGCTCCTCAGGTGCAGCATAGTGGGATTTGTCCTTCTTCTGCAGCTTTTTTCGTATGGTTGACAAATCCATTGGCCTTTTGATGATCTGATAATAATGCCGAGCCTGCAATAAGAATAAAATGCAAGTGTGTAACATTTTTTATTTATTTATTTGTTTTAATTAATTAATTTCTTCTCCAGTGACTTCTATCGAAGTCTGAACAGAAGTCACTGCAGAGGAGTCCTTGCATCAGGGAAGAGAGCTTTAGTTTCTTAGCGCCTACACTTGTGTATATTATCTTCCTGGGTGCTTTTTGGTTTTATTAAAAACATATTTGCTTGCAAGACTGAACTTGAAAATAGCACACTTCAGTGTTTACACTCAGTATTTACACTCTGCTATTTGCACTTTGTAAAGTTTATCCCCAGATATAAATGTCATTGTTTAACCATAATCAATAATATATGCAACACTGACAATTAGCTAACATTTCCCCCAAGGAATTACAAAAAGAATGTGCTGAGATACTGGCAGCTGATAAGGTGGGAAGCAGTCTGTCAAGAGTGACTAAAAACAAGATACCGTGCACTCTCTTAAAAGTTCAACAAGACTCTTTTTCAATGGGCATTAGCTACCAGGATATCACACTCCTTAAATCTTTTTTGGTCTAAACCTACTTGTTAGGTAATTTGTTCCATAAGTTCATTGCAAGCTTTATTAGGTGGAATAGGTTTTTTACCATTATTTGGACTATTCCTTCACATAAAACCTTTATTTTTCCCTTCCCCAATCTGTTTCTCACTGTGTTCTATTGTTACAACACTGTGAATCTCTATCTTCCTTAAAACAGACAGTTAATATTGCAAATGTTGAGTACATGGATGAAACAATAGTTTCTACATCTTCCCCTACACACAGTCACATTTCTGGTGTTGTCCACAGAGAGGGTAAAGAGGGAGTCCAGGGTTGTTTCTAAAGCAGGCCTCTCTTACAGCAGTACAGCATTTTCCATGTACACGGTGAGTCAAATTTTTTAATCACTGTAGCCTATCACATACCTTTAGTATTCTACCAGCATCTTAAATTGGCACCCAAACCTTGCCACCATTTACCTGCCTGCAATCTGATGCTTTTAAAGCACTTGCAAGAGGAAAACTTCTAGCCTGAGCAATACCATTCAGAAAAAAACCTCATGAATATCTTTCAAGAAGATAAAGGAGATATTTACGAGGTGTGGCAGAGTATCCTTTGGATTTCCTCTGATCCATGCATGTGCAGTACTTACCAGGGGACTGACAGGTTCATGGAACGGGAGGCTCATATTACTGCAGAACAGGGAAAGCACCAGCTTTTCACACTTCTGTAGGAGCCAGATTTGAAACACATTTTAATGCAAAAGAAGTGAGTTTCATTCTTGCCCTTAGTTAATCAATCATACTAACAACAACAGAATTCTCATGTAGACTGTGCACTTCTGATGCAAAATGGCACACTTCACCCTAATCAGGGGGATGTTTTGCCTCATAGCACTTTTATAGCTTTGAAAATAAGGATAGTCAAGAAATGTAGGAAAAGAAACTATGTAAAAAACTTTGTATGCACGTATCTTTTCTGGAAACCCTTGGGAACTAATTGCTATTACTATTTCCTTTCTGCACTTCAGATCTATTTCTTAGCTCTTGACTAAAAGAACAGCAGCAACAGTGTGGAAATAGTTAAATAGGAAATGTTTCACACTGTTAGTATCCATTCATACAAAGGGATGCAAGTTATGTAATTGCTAGTACTGTATGAAAATTGTTCTGTCTAATCATTGTTAACTTGTAAAATATTTATAATAGTCTTTGGCTTTTTCACTAGTGCAAAAAGAATGCACTACAAAACCATCATAAACCTTATTTGCTCACCAACAATGGAATTTTTATTCATCTGAATTCTCTAAATGAAATTTCACTACTTAAGATCCAGATCCCAACAATTACTGTCCAGTTGTACCAAATCCAGTAAAAAAGGGCATCACATCAGTGTAAAAAAGTTATGTCCAGCTCTGTATGGACAGAGTAGCTCAGGTCTGGAAACAGCATGGATGAATTGAGCAATGCTTGGCTGTGCTCATAGGTCTTGCCAAGGGGCCCCAGTGCTCTGAGAATCATTGCTGTTGTCTTTATGACTGGTGCCCAGACTAGATCAGTGCCTTAAATTAGGCTCCATTTGCACAGGGCCAGCTCAACATCTGCACTCAGCTCTTTGGACTCAGCCTCTCTGTCCAGCTATCAACAATACACGAAGGATTTCCACCTGTTTGGAAACTTGTGCCTTCCAAGCACCAAGTGGACTTTAAGAAAAGGCACTTTTTTCATTTTGGTAGAGGAAACTGGTAATGGGTATGTAAAGGGATAAGCTTTCGTCTAGGCTGAATCAACAGCCTAAACATCACGTTCAGGGGAACTAATAGTACACATGAAGACTGTATGATGATTTTGTTCCAAATGAAAGTCAAAAAGGGTCTACATCACAAAAATGTCATTTCACTGGCCCAAGTAGATGTCTCTTGTCTGAGAAGTGCCAAGTCTTAAAGCAAAAAGATTCAGTGTCAGAAAGCCAGGAACAAATTGACTCAGGGAAGTTGCTCTGCTGCTCTGTGTGACTTCCCTGTTCAAAGTAGAAAAGAAGTCAAGATTTGCCTGTTTCATCTTTCTGTAACATGACATTCATTTTAAAATTGAACAGCAATGCCTAGAAAGAAGAGAATGATATAAATGAATAGTAAAACTGCTTTTGTTCTATTTACTACTGTCTGTAACATTTGAGTAGCAACCAAGTAAAAACCATCATCTTTCCAAAGAAAAGGCAAAGCCTCATGCTGAGATCATATGGTCTTTTCTAAATAGTACAATATACAGTTATTCCCACCTTCTGGTCACAGTCATCAAGGCCATATTGTACATTATAGCTGTGGCTGTAGCGTGTGTTTTCACAGTCATATTCTACCTCAGGCTTCACTGGATTACGGCAAAGGGTGCACACCCATTCTCCCCTGCAAAACAATAAACCAAAAACATGCTGATTTTTTTCCACAACCTTGTCAAATAACAAATCTCATAAATCACTGTATTTGGAAGGTCTCATTCTTAACTAGTATTACAATAGCAGGCAATCTGAAGCCCATTGTACTAGATGTTCTTCAATGGATTTGAATCCAATTACAAGTGCAGCAATTTCAGGTTCTATTCATGACACTTTTTCTGTCACAAAGGAAAAGAAAAAAGACAAAATTTTAAGTGTTTGAAATCATGTACCAGCAGTGTATGCAGCTGCATTGATTCAAGTGTTGCTTTTAAAAAAACATTAAGGTAAAACAGGCAATAGTTAGGTCATAAGACAAACACAGATCCATTTGATAATTGATGTATTTATCTAAGAAGTCAACATTATCAGAAAAGGTCATAATGTGTGCTAGTACATGGGTTCCCAAACCAAACAGACATAATTCTGCAAGGGCATGTGTGTCCTTTCTAGTAGATCTATTTTCAAAAATCTCTTGAAGAATTTCATGAAGGCAGTGACACAAATTCTGCAACATCAGGGTCTGAATAACTATAGATGAAGATCTATTAAAGAACTGTGAACATATAATTTTAGTTAAGGGAATTAATTTGTTTCATTAGAATTTGGGTTTGCATAGGAAGTTTATTTTAAACACGAAAACTTCGTTTTCACTTTGTTTTGAAACTAGAGGAGTTGAAAACTCCTAGTTTTTTGAACAGAATGAACAAACCACAATCTCCAAACTAGTATCTTGCAACATATTTTTCTCAGCTGAGACAGTTATTTGGGCTTGGCACAAATGAAGTAGTAGCCTTTGGTCCCACTTAATAAAGATTTATAAGAGAATTCAGAATTGTACACCAACAGTAACGCACTACCTTTTAAAGTCTGGAGTCTGGTATGTGGACGTATATCTACTTCTGGCTCATTGCACACAATTCATCTGTGACAATTCGCTAGACAACATATCTTAGGGAAACCAATGTCCTAAACATTTCTAACATAAGCCCTGATAATCCTAAATTTCCCATAAAATTGGCTAGAAAACTGAATAGAAATTCACTGGTTGCCTTTTTCTGGGGCTAGTCTCTGTTTTTGGAGAGAAGAGCTGATGTCTACACTTCAGATGTTACATGAGAATTAGGATTTTATTTTTCCCCAGTGAGTCACATGAAAGTCTCGGGTCTGCAACCTCCTTTGTTGTACTGGCCAGTTACCTGCAGAAAGGGCACACATGGCTGGAAACAATTCTTGTTCATAATTCATCTAGTTCCCAGTGTGTAAGACAATTCTTCCCTTTGCAAGAAAAGCATCAAAAAGGACAAGTGAGAGATGCAGTATAAGGCTGACACATACATCCCTGAGGATATATTTTGCCCCAAGGCAGTGAGTAGGAACAGCACATTAGTGAAATGTCATACATACACTGGAAAGCTGAGCAGGGCTGGAACATGGCAGGAGAGATGGAAGACCTTGGGGCAGTGATCGCAGCACAACAGTTCTCCTCCATTAAGACACACAGCACAGAAATCCTCATTTTCAATTGGGCTGACTTCCTGAGTAACTGGAGATTTTTTCATGCTGGAGATGCCATTGCTGAGCTTCTGATCAACAGACAGAGCATCTACAGGGGGAGATGGTGTCTGTCCTGCAGCCTGGGATATGAGAAATTTCCTGTCCTCTGAGTTTTCCTCTTTGGACTGCAGTCCTTCAGGTGGACTATCTTTATTTATCTTGAAGGAAGAAAAATCTGGGATCACACAATCATCATTTTCATGTATCAGCATACAACAGCAGTGGTTATCTGCAGACAAACTGATTTCTCTGCAGTGAACTCTACTGGAGAGGGCACTGGGGTTCAGCAGGCCCATTCTCAGCTCGGGATCTGCTGCTGGCTGGCCAGGTCACTTTGGTCAAAGTCATTCCCTCCACATACCACGGTGTAATAGCACTATGACAGCTGCACAGGTTCCATACCAAGGGTGATAGAAACAGAATACTACAATATTATTTGCAAATTTTTCAGTAAACAGCTCAAAAACTCCTGCAAAAAGCCACAAATCCCCCAACCAAACAACAAACAAACGAACAAGAAAAACCCACCAAAAACAAAACAACAAAAACAGTATAGGTTTTTGTTCCCACCAGAAATTCCTCTTTCCTCTCCTCTGTGGAGAGAAGCTTATGCTCGAGACTCCAAAGAAGCAATTGAATACAAGACTTTTAAAAGTCTATTACACCATGATTTCTGGGATTGGTTCCTAAAACTCAAATATACATTCAAGTCAGTTTTAAGCTATTTGTCCTATATTTGTAACCAGACAGGTAAGCCAAGCTGCTTGCTAGAGTATAAAAACACTACAGCTACCCAATCCCAGAGACAGACTTCTCAGAAATGGAAGTATCAGGGAGCTACACAGCAAACTAAAAGCAGCATTGCCTATTACCTCAACCCATCACAGAAGTATCCCAAGATGAAACAAATCAACAAACTTATTTACTGTATAATAACTCTCAGAACTGTGGGTACAAACCAGTAGGATACAGGGGAGAAGGCAAGTCAAACCTCCAGGCAATTCTACTCACCTTTATAGACATACTTGAAGACCGTGTCCCACATTCAATTACGAGGAGGAAATTGCCCTCCTGCTCATTGTCCTGTGGCTGGAGCTTAAACACCGGCAGCTCCCCCACTTCTGATGCGCATATTTTCAGACGTTCCAGTCGCACAAAGGGAATCTTCTGCTCCTTCGGGCCAGCTCTGTAGGCGAAAGGACACATGGCTGAATTCGGCTACATTCCACAAAATTCTGCCCACTCAGTTTCAATACTTTTCACGTGCTGTTATTTGTGCTCCTTTCCCTTTGCAGCTGTGACTCTGCTGGCTAAATGCTGAAAATCTGGACACTTTTTAACAAGCCAATTCTTTAAGAAATGTGAATTCGATCACTTCAATCATATGTGTAAATGCACTACTAACTTCTGTGCTAAACTTTTGCCTTGTTCCATATATTTTTGTTTTAATTATCCCAAATTATGTCATATTTGATACTTTTAAGTGTGATTGGCTTCAAGTAGGAACACAGCATATGATCAAGTTTACTTGAACATATTATCACAGCAGTAGCTGAAAACAAAATTTTATAAAATTATTGAGATAGTATTAGTCCTGTTCCCATGATATCTTTTAGTTTTAATTTAAGCTTAACAGATTTTAATTATCCAAGTGAGATAAGTTTGCAAGTATTTATTCATTCTGGAAAATTACTCAGAATAACAGAAATACATGAATTCACCATTTCTTTTTCATTGTTGTTTTCAAGTTTAAGAGAGTAATTTACAACTTTCAGAACTATTATCTATAAGGAATCTAGTATTCTTTTTAAGTTCTCCATTATCATTAAGTATGACAAATTTTCAAAATACATGCATAAAATTTCACGGCCAGTGATTTTGTATAAAAAAGACTCCTCTACCTGACATTCTGATTGCTTTTCATATCCATTTCAAAATGTTCCTTTTCACAGTCATTGGAATCTGGAACAGAAGATAAGAAAACGAATAAAATATTTATAATATCACAGGCAGATTAGGGTAGAAAGTACTTCAATATTCATGTACTTCTGTCTGGTGTTTAATATGATATCATAAGTGAATTATGGAATTGTTTCATCTATATGTATAGAAAATGTGTATGCTATTTTCTCTTCTGATACAGAGCTTTTGTCTTTCTTTTTTGCTTTTAACCACAGCTTCTGTATGAAATACGAGGAGCCTTTACGAAATATTTTGTCGCAATGGTTTCATTCCCAGGGAATTATGTATGTACACAGCCATGTCACATTCATCCATATACATGGAACAACATAAGTAATCCTCTTTGCTGTACAGCCTGCACTTGAGAAAAACAGACCTACTGAGGTCTGAACCCCTGAGGCTCAGGAAGTCTCTGTAGTCTACAGCCCCATGCTAAGAAGCTTCTGGCTAATTCTTGAAAACAGGAAGAAAATTGTGCCTCCCATCTGCCACCGAGGGACAAAAGTTACACTATAATTCCTTTCTATCCAACGTCTGTAACGTATAAACACATGAACTCAAAACTATCTGTTATATAAGCATACAAGTAGCTGTAGCTCTTGACTAATAGCAGACACAAGAGTAATAAAACAACTTCAGGGAGATGGGACAGCGTAGAGATGAACGCCCCAGTGGATGTCCTCATAGACCAGACCACTGACAAATGTCATAGTAATGCCTTCCTTTGCTAGGAACTGGTTTGACATAGCCAATACTAACAGGAAACAAACCTAATATCATGGTTATCTGGAGACAAGTGAGGGCCAGGAAAACATGCCTTTTAAAAGAAAATCTAGCTTGGGCCAACTGTACCTAACCCACGGCTTGAATGCAATGTGCCTGTAAGGATAGTCTGTTATTTCCAGCCACAGGAAACACAATACAAGACTGACAAGGAAAGGTGCATTTTACATCACACCTAAGGCATTATTCACTTGTGACTGTTGCTCAGGTGAAAGACAGACAGAATTACTAAAGAGCGACTGCACACTGAGGCAGGGTCAGCTCTTGTTGCACATTGTCAAACCAGAAGATGTTCCACTGGTTCTGGATTGCTATATTAACTAACATTTCCATCAGCGACTTGGCCCATAAAATAATAGTACTTATAAAATTTGTGGAAAACGCCAACCTAAAGGGGTTGCAAACACTGGAGAATATTTACTGTTAAAAATAGACCTTAATACATCAGAGAAAGAAAATCTCCCAAATCAATAAGACTGAATTAACTGTATTATGCTTATAAAGGATCAGATTAATGTAATCACAAAGGAAAATAACTGACTAGGGAACTGCTCTGTAGAAGGAAGTTAACGTGGACTTCTCACCACAAGCAAGTCAACCCTCTAGTGCTGCTGGCTGCAAAAGAGAGGAATGCCATCTTGCAGCTTATTACCCGCAGCAAGGAATGTAAAACACAAGAAGCTGATACCCTGGCTCTGCATGGCACCCCAGAGGCCTCAGCTGCAGCACTGCGTTTGGCTGTGGGCAGCACTCCTTAATTGCAGAGAACCCAAAATAGCACAGCAGGAATGATGTGGTTTTGAAAAATCAAACTCCTGACCCATGAGGAGAGACTGAAACCATCAGAATTGTTTAGTCTAGGAAAGAGAAGGGGAGGGGAGAGTGTTTATGCAAGCTATGATAAGAAGTGGCTGTAAGAGGGAAAATGATGAAATTATGTACAATTTTCACCACATCCCTTGTGGCTAGGATAAGAAGTATTTTGTTTTAAATTAGGCTGAAATGTTTAGGTTAGGTTTGATATCAGAAAAGGATGAGTCATTGGAGATATATACCAGAAGGAATGGGGTTTGGCAGCACAGCACCATGAAGCCAGAAAGTCCTACTGAGAGCCACCAGCAGAGATAACCTTGCCTTTGCAACAGAATTCATCTCTCCCACTGCATATGGTGACTGTATCTCCTCAGGTCTCTCCTCAGTGCACACCATTAAACAGGCACAGCAGGATGGGAATTGCTCCCTCCTGATCCTTCCTTGTGAAGAGGGAGCAGCACTGAACTCAACACGCTAGGCTTTCCATCCTATTGCACAACAGGGCCTGTGCTTTGTACAGAGCAAATCTGTAGCATCTGTTATAGACAGTGAGATTCAGTACACTGGGGCTGCTTTCAGGGTGTAGTGTCACACGACCCAGACCAGATATTAGAAAGCTGCTCCTCTTGGAGACACTTGAGCCTGACCGAGACACAGCTTTTTGGGGGTGTACGTGATTCTTACATCTCACACAAATAACTGTGGCATAATTGTAACAATTTGGCAGAGGACATAGAAGAGAAGACAAATACATTTCCTTGGCTCACTGAGCTAGGCCTCCTTTGTACTAATTAGTGTTCTCTGAATAAAAGTATAGCACTGAGATAGAAATATTAATTCATCTTTTATAGAGAAAAGCAGACAAATGTTGGCATAAGTCACGGGATAACAGCTTGATCCTGCAATCCCTTGCTTGCATGAGTAGTTCCATTGACTTTCAGAGTTTGCAGGAATGAGGCTTTATAGTGTAGCACAATGATGTTGGCAATTTGCCCATGAAAAGAGTTAAGTAAAGCCTAATTCTCCATTAAGGCTGAAGAAATAGGTCTTGGCTGAAGGGAATGTTCCACAACAGACAGAGCCAAGCAAAAGCACACACCGCGCAATATATTAACAAAAATTTGGTATGCTACTGATGTGAAGGTCTTAGCAGAAGGCACGTTACATTTGGGAAGTAATTTTTTTTTTTTAATTGAATTTGGACCCTTCAAACCAGCTCTTCAATAGTCATAACTGCAGATCTCATTAACAGGAGTGCTTCTAAGAGAGCTAATACTCCAGGTACTTCACACAGACACACTCGTTTCTGGTTTACAGATGAAGGATGTTACAAATTCAAAGCATATCATTTCTGTGTTTTTTTCCTCCATAGATGAGATCAAACACACTTTTCCATTGGATTAAGTACTCTGATAAAATTTGAAGCTTGCTAGAAAGAACATTTGCATGTAAGTACACTAATAAGCATACTGCTTTGCAATGCTTGCAATGCACAGTGCTAAGAAAGAAAGACCAAAAAAAACCTAAATGAAATAATTAAAAGCCTTGTACCTTCTTCGCTTCTAAGTTGTCTCATTCTGGCATTCACAGGCAGGAAAACACTGTTGCTGAGCAGTTCAGAAGGAGAAGTGCAATGTTGAGATTTTTTGATTGAAAGATTAATAGGTTCTTCCATCACTTTTTGCATAGAAAGAGTTAATTCATTAACTACATCTTGCCCAGCAGTAGCCAAGCTGTTTTCTAGAAGACAGTCTACAGTATTGAAGTCTTCATTTTCCAGCTTCGGGAGGTGGGGGGGGTGAGGGTTAGAAAAAAATACCACATTTTATTATTAGTTTCCTTTCTTTCCATTTTAAGAAAATAATTTTTAATCAGTCTTCAAATACTAGATAAGGAAAACTTTACTTACTGAAAAAGCTATCTTTGACTGATTGACTAACAGTAACATGTGTTGTAAATGCAAGTGGATTCCCTCTCAGTAGAGGAGTTTGAGCCATTCCTACCTTGCATTTGGTGCTGCCCTGTAGTGCATCACCTGGTGTGAAGCCAGCAGGATTCCCAGGGCTCAGGTCACTTGGAGCCCTGCCCAATGCCAGGCTGTAGCTGGGCACTGGTTCTGGTGGAGCATCACAGTCACAAAGGGCATTTGGGGACGGGCCAAGTGTTACAGCAGCTGCACCTTTCACCTGTGGATCAGCCGAGCTGGAAAGCCTTGTTGGAGGTAATTCCATTTCCAAACCGTTTGAAAAGCCCACGAAGCTTAAGGATGCTGAATGCTGGGAAAAGCAAATAGGAAAAAAACCCCAATATATTAATAAACTGTTCAGCACCAAAATGCTACTTTGCTGTCTATAATAGATGAGATACTCTGTTTCAGCTAGACATAATCAAACAGTTGTGTATGAGGGCAGTAAGAACCTATCATAATCCCATACTATTCCCAGAAGTTTTAGATTTTCCACTATTGAAACCAAAAACTGGAAAAGGCGATAACTAGGTTACTCTTCTGTGATTTACAAAGAGTGTCTTCCTTAGATCAGTCCAAGGGATCCTGATTTTTAATTCCTACAATGACTGGGAAACCTAAGCATGTAGAATTCTGTACCCAATTGAACCTTGATACAAACACTACTACCTTCCATTAAGTTATTCTGGAAGAAATAAGATTCAAATCAGAAATTTTATCATTTTATAAAATAACTTTAAATCACTTTATTCAGAAAGAAGATTCAGAAGAAATAAGCTCCAAATATGATATAAGTGGATGAAGCAATTGTTTCTTTTCGTGATGCTGAAAACTTTATGCTACTTAGTGAGTCTGTCCCACTAAAACCAAAGGCATTTTCTCTTTAAATGTTACAGTGTAAATCCAGAAACACCCCACCTGTACTAATGAGGAAAGGATGTACATGTCTAGTTTTCAAAGAAAGGGAATATTTACCAAAGTCTCAATATGCATTTTCTACTGCCTCATGATTTGTCGCTATCAAATCCACAGAGATAGTGTTATGCAAACCAAAGCAAATCCACCCATCTAGGTGACTTCCTTAAGCTGTCTTACATCCTGGAATGTGTGACTGTATTGAAAACAAGACTCTTGCAGTATTGAAAACAAGACTCTTTATGCTTATAAACATAAGCATTCTTAAGTATGCAGATCTGTGTCATTTGAATATGCAATTTTTCCTTTATTTTATCATAGTTCATTGCTGTTTCACCCTTGATAATTGACTGAATATGTCCTTTTCATGTGACTGCAATACAGTAAGTAGCATTCATTGTAATATAAATCAAGGCAATAGAAATGCATTGATTCCATCTGAATTAGAGTTTAAATTCATTGTTGCACTTATTTTTCTGCTAGAGGCCTGCAACTTAGAAGTGAATCTGAGACAGGACCCATTTCCTAGATTTGATTAGTATTTTTCTCAAGTTATACACCGTTTTGGATTTGATACCTTTGTCCATCTTACCCCACAGTGGTGAAGACAGTAGACTAGACTGTCAGTTTTGCCCGTGTAAACTCTACATAATGTCAAAGTCAGTCTCTCAATTCCTCTGCTTGCAACGCACATCAACTATGTGCTAAGAGGACACTCTGCCCACAGACACTAATTTCCACCTAAGGATGCAGTTTAGTCTCTTTTTTGTCAATTTGCAGTAGATGCCACAGTGGGAGCTTTGCCTGAACAGTAACCACTTAATTCAATGAGACAAAATAGCCTGCAGTTGAGACAAAAAAAGAGGTTAACTCTTCTGCAGTGCTAGGGAAGGTTTGTGCCATTCTACCACACAGTGCTCCAGTGAGTCTGCTTTAAACAGCCCCTCCATGTAGAAGGCATCCCAGACAGTACTGGATTTCTGCAGCTAGGATATTGGTCATTTTCCTCCTCTTGAGTCAAATGAACACCCCTGAATTTAAGCTGCCTGAGATATGATAACTTTTTGGAAGTAGATGGAACTTGTCAAAGTTTGAGCTAAAAACTAGAATGCCCCAAATGGAGAAATGCCTTGGTGGAGGCACAATTTGCCATATATTCTGTCTGACAGAACATTCCTAAAAATAATGAGGTTTCTACCCAAGGTTATATATGTAGGTCAGAAAGGAATCCAGCTTTCATGGCCACACCTTCTAAAGAAGTCCACAAAGATCAAAAGTGTTTGTTTGATGTCATAGTTTGCTTGTGAGAGGTTCCCTCACATGCAATGACAAATGTGGCCTATCAAGTCCACATTTTCCTTTTCATTCCATCCCTCTTTTTATCACAAGCCTCTTTCAGATGACAAAATAAACATGTGAATTGTTCCCACATCACTTACAAAAAATAAAATAAGTAGAATTCGTGCTTGAACCGAACAGATGAACTGCAACCAGCCTTGCCTTTTCCTCTCATTTCAAAGTCCACAGTGAGCATTAATTAAATCCCTGTGAGGCAGTTAAATATTTATTTAATCATGTTTTCCAAAGCACGAAGCATCCACAAATTCCTGTCTGAGTCAAGAGGAACTACCTAACACTGTGCTCCACTGGAAATGGGCACGCTGAGGCACACAAGTGGCAGGCACACCACCCAAAGCTCATAGCAAGTTAACTGGAGACCTTCTGGCCATTCACCACTTCTAATCACTACACACACCTTCCTTCACTCCTTCATGAGCACGCGCCGTCATCTATCACGTACTGAGACCTGACCCTGTGAAAACCCTCCGTGTGTGGCTGCGTACACCTCAGGTGAGATGTCAGCCCCACTAAGGCAATGGTGGGATTAGTCCTGGCTTCAGTGACACAAGTTTACTTACTGAGAGTAGTCACTGGGATGATTCCTACTAAGAAAAAAAACAGGAAAAAGAAAAACAGACACGCACATAGGAATTTTCTTACAGCTAAAATTTTCAGGAAGGTGAAATTCAATTACATGATCTGGCTACATCCTTTTTACTCTTCTAGGTAGTATCAGTTTCTTCAGAGATCTTTTTTAGATTATATAAGCCAATGTAAAACCTTACTCTTGCTAAAAAGAAAAAAGAATAATGAGGCCATCAAATTGCCATCTGTCTTTCCCTTGGGGCAAAAGTTAATTTTGTGGTTATTTTAATGATGAAGCAACATTATGATCTTTCAGTGCAAAATATTAAAACTCACAGTTAAGAACAGACACATTCCATCCTGATCCATGGAGCTGCTGTCAAGTGTGAAGTGAACAATGCACTGGGAACAAGGCTCATTAATAGTCTATTAATTCACTCCCTAAAATAATCATTTCTTTTGCCATTAGCAAAAATTTCTCTTTTCCCTTGACAGTTCAGCTAGTTTTTGCAAGTGGGATGCCTTTAAAGAATTTATCTCTATTTTATAAAAGCTCTATTGCTTTTACATTGCACCATTTGAACAACAACAAGCATTAATTATGTTCTTGGGCAGAGGGTGGCTTCAGCTGTAGGTTAATTTTGAACTTTTTGACATTTTAATGTACAGCCTGGCACACTGAACTACATCTGTGACATTATAAATGGAATTCTCATTGTCTCATAATTAATTTTGGTTTGATGATCCTTATAATATAATGGCAGCAGCATCACTACCCCAAAATGCCTTCTACCACAAATTTCTTAGCTATGGTAGTGAAAGGTAAGAAGAAAGAACATGCAAAGTGCCTTCAGAGAACAAAAAATAAACATATGGTTCAGTTCAAATATTTCTTTGATCGCTGTTGCATTTAAAAAGGTCCAGTGTAAACATGCAGCACTAATACAGAAGAATTCTGAGAAGCAAATACTTACCTTGAAACAGTGGGATTAGGATTTGTTAGGATTGTTTTGGCAAAGTCTCAAGGCTGTTGACATTAAGTGTCACAGATAAAGAAAGCTAAAACTAGGAACCGCCAATTCTCTTTGCTATAAGAGAAATAACACGCTGCAAATGGTTGCAGAGTAATGAACGGCTGCTATTAAGTGGAGCAATCCCCCTGGCAGCTCATTATGCTGGAAGGTTAAACAAATGTACTACTCCAATCCAGTTGCTTAACTCACCGAGCACAGCAGCACTGATAACACAGGCTACACATGCTTCCTATTCGTATTTTCCAGTTTCAGAACAGAATCCAAAGGATTTCCTTTCCGTTTTCACGAGTAAAAGAATCCAAATCTTCCTTCACAGTTTGTCTAAATAAACTGGAGCTGGCTTAAAGCAAAGGAGGAAGAGATTGTACGGAGCAAGCAGCATCATGTTTTATTTATCTTATTTTTTTTCAGGTCAGAGGAAAAAGGTTTTGTAAAACTAACATTCTGGGAAATGTACCTAATTGCATTAAGCATGAACATATTTATGCTGTAAACATCTCAATTCTGTAAAGTAAAAAACATAACCTGTTTCTCCAGAGATTTGTAGCACCCTAAATTCCAGGCTCTTATTATTTCTTTCATCACTAATTCCCCTATAATTAATAATAATTAGGGCCCAAAAAATAGCAAGAACAAACCCACTTTGGTCCCAAGCTCAGACTTGAAGTTCTAAGGTTGGATATTAAATTGTTATTACTTCAATCACTAAGTAATCACAACATGCTCTGTGCAATACTAACAAAAAATAAAACCTCTACTCTGTCTGTCAACCCCTCTTCCACAAATTGCACATTTTTAAAGAAAAAAGAAAACAAACAAACAAACAAACCAAACACAGTAGTTCAGTTAAACTATTGCCACCGAGATGGAAGAGGTGTCATTAATAAAGCTTAGGACAAATGTGTTGGGGCAAAATACCCAAAAATGCCACCAACAGCAGACCAAAGTCAATTGCTCTCTCTGACAATCCTGTAGTAACAGTGGCATTGGCACGTCAGAGACTAGAAATTCACGTGCATCAAGTCTGAACAGAGGCTGAGAGGTTCCACCACAAACTGTCACTATGTCAGTCTTGCATGAAATGCCACCACTGCATATAACTGGCCTCTCAGAGTGCTCTGAAGATTGCTCCTTGGATGGTATGGAATATTGTAGGAATTCCCCATTTCAGGTGCTTTATGGTGTTTGAGACAAATGGAGCTCCTGAACTAAGAAGCTGGGACTTATTGCTAATCAAAAAGAATAATACAAAAATCAGCCTTATAGCACTCTACAACATTTCCATGTGCTTACACTTTCAATACTATTTCTGGTCACCCTGTCTCAAAAATAATTTACAAAAACCACAAAGTATAGGGAAAATGGCCAAATATATAAAGGACCAAAGTATAGAATGGCTTTTATGAAAGAAAATCCCGACTCTAGAGAGGCAAGCGATCACTTTTCAGTTTCAAAAAGAAATTTTGAGAGTAAATTCAATATAGACCTATCCAATACTGATATTATGAAGGTTGTGAATACAGAGTGATTATTCACTGGTTTTCCTAACACAAGAACTAGAAGGCATCTGCCTGAACTATCAGGAAGCAGACTTAAAGTAAGCAAACAGAGGAACTTACGCGATGCAAAACTCCGTTGTTGTAGAATAGGATTAAAATGGACTCAAAAAATGGATTAGAAAAATTCACAGAGGTCAGGTCCATGAAGAGCTCCAAAACACAATTCTCTTGGTACAACCTTCAGGTCAGAAAGTCCCTAAAGTGCTGGTTTTCAGAAGATGGGATTGTTTATCATGATTTTATATTTGTCTGTTTCTTACACCCTTTCCTAAGTATCTACTACTGGCTACAGCTATGAATGATCTGTGCAACTCTTCAGTAATAACTTACTAATACAGTCCATGACATATTCAGAGATTCACTTTAAGCAGAAGGTGAACTAATAGCTCAAGGGAAGAGCTAAGGAACTCAAAGGAGCTCAAAAATTTCTAAGGAACATAACCAAACCTGAGTTTGCTAAATACAAATTGCAAGTGCCCAATCTACTCACAAGTAAGCAGTGTCCCAGCAGGCAGAACCACACCCAAGCTGGTTAGGTTTTTAGGATTAGTGGGGAGGGTATAAAATGTTCCACTACCCAGGACCCGACTCAACAGGTGGAAGACAAGGAATCCTCCCTCCCAGAAGTAAAGGTCTTGTTCCAAACTACAGAAAGGGGTGCACTTATGGAGTCTGAGGAGGAGAGATGTCCAGCTGGCCCTGCAACAACACCAGTGTTTGTTGCAGCAGTACCTGAGGCTCAAACTACAAATTTGTGCTATAGATATACAGCAATTGTGTCATTTCTTTACAGCCTTTCGACCTCTTGCTCATCACAACCAGAAATGACAATTAGGTACACACAAACAAAACAGAGATTGCATTCCCTCTATTACTCCTGAAAACACAATTAGGCTCAAAATATCTTATTATTCTCTCCTCTGTTCCAGATTAGATGACCTCTCCAGTCCTGTGTTCAAATTAACAACTCAATATCATACTATGTAAAAGCAACAAGAGGACCATATCATTGCAGAAGGTTGGTAACCCCTTCCACAAAACTGTTAATCTAATTGAGTACTCATTCCTTCACACTGCAACATAGCAATTCAACAGCTTGTGTAAAACTTGTTTGATAGAGCTTGGCACAATTCCCTGGAACTGAAGTGCAGGTATCACCAAAGTTATTCTGAAATTTGTTCTCTGTCTTGCTGGCATTCTTACTGGAGAGGTTGGGTATTTGACAGGCGTAGAGATGGAACAACTCCACAATCCAAAACAGAGGTCCTGGCTACATGATTGAAGTATACCGACAGGGGACCATGAAGAGAAAATTATATCCATTTTGCACATGGACAGAAAAATTTCTTTTCTAGTGTTGTGCTCTTAAAAGGTGCTAATCAAGCCCAAAATTATGCTAAGTGCAGTACTTACATCAAACAATCAATGGTCAAAGTATAGAAACATTTATTCTGCACAAAAAATTAATTCACAGAGAAAGACTAGTTAGAAGAATACACAGAAAGACAGAAAGGCTGACAAACATCACCATTAATGCTCCAAAACCAGTGAAACATATGAAAACACTCCCATTTACAATTGAAGTTACACGTTTAGAGGCTATATTATACACATGCATACAGAGCAGGTAGGCACAGACAGGAATTTCTCTGAACTTCGAGACTGCAGTAGCCTTGGTGACAATGTCTGTGTTTGACACCAGCTAGAAAACTCTATTTTGTACAATTGGAAAGCCAAAACTCTGCTGCACAGTGAAGCCAGATTTAATTTCTGCCCTGATAGGTGGTGAAATATAACACACAGGGACATTTTACAAATGTGCGAAGTGTTTCATCCTTGTTTTTCTACTTCTGCCTATCAATAATCAGCTTTAAATGTGAGGGAAAGAAAACAGTACTTATCAGAATAACTTGAACAGGTGCTCTTGGAACTCAAAAGCTGTCACATGGCACATGAGTGCCTCACGCCACTAGTACTTTTTTGGAATGATCTGAATCGTCTACTTATGATTTCCCTGTTTATGAGTAATGTGGTGATCCCAAACTATTATTAGCATCCACTCCATATTATTTCACACATAAATGTAATCCTGTATTCAGATAATTTATCTAGTAAATCAGTCAATAATATCAAATGCATACCATAAACATGTTTCTAAGTTAATGCATAGATTTTTAATTGCATGCACAATCAAGCCTTGCCCCACTCCAAAACAAAGGAAACCTCTGGGCTAAAGAAAGCTTTTATTATTTTTTTTTTTGACAGATCACTAAACAGTTAATTCAGGTACACACTGCTTTCTCTTTAATGAAAGGATCTCAGCAGACAGAGAATTACCTACTCCACTAGGAATGCTGCACTCAACTGAAGGCTGTCAGAGTTCAGCAGAACTGCAATGAGGCCAAAAGTCCAACACCAATTATTCTCCAAAAGACAGAACACAGTTCTTCTTCAGGTAGCAAAAGGCTTATCTAGCCATTTTCTCTACCATATTTGTCAAGTGCAGTGTTTCAGACTTGTCCACATTCACTTTTTCCATGTCCTCCAAGAACTTGAGAGAGATGAAATGTTCTGAATACAGGCCATATGAGAGTAAATGGTCAAACACCTATGCAGAAATTTTTGTCTGGAGAGGACTGTGAAAAATATTTAATCGGGTGAAACAGAGATGAGAATAGATACATTCCCTTGTTCTTAAACAGGAACCAATCTCCCATTTAAACCTAGATTTAATCCAATTGTCAGCAAAAGCAGTCAGACATCTTTAAACAACATTCATGAAGATTATATCTCAAGGGTTTCCTTACTGTGCTGTTTCCCTTCATCATTTCTAATTCAGCATAGCCAGAGCTGTCAGTACATTACATCTTCATCCCAAACAGCTCATTAGAAGAAATAAATACAAGGAAAGACGGGGTACTGTAGCTGTTGAATGCTCCCATTTCTTGCAGAGGTATCAGAAAACTAGCCAAAAAACCCCAGACATTCCTGTGCTTTCTGCACAAGAGCATACACTTCCCAGTACCACTAGAAAAAAATTCTTTTCTTTTCCTCTAGGAATATCCTCTTCTTGCCACCTCAACTTCTACAGGAACAATTCAGCCCTTCTTCCTTTATTACTCCTTCTTTCCCATCAGACTATACCTCTCTCTCTCTCTCTCTCTCTCTCTCTTGCACATCTACTTTCATTTTCTTCCCCCTTTCTGACTTTTCTTGTTTAAAGTGTTGGGAATAACCTTCTATTACAGGTCCAGAAGACAAAGGACAGCTTCTTTAACTTCTGAAAGTTACTTGGGTAGCATCACCATTCACTTTCACAAATAAATTTGAGGACATGTCTACATTACATGAAAAGTATTAGCTCAGGTTCATGGTCTTACTCAGGTCCTAAATACACATCTTCAGTTTTTACAGTCAGATCCTAAAGTAAAGGTAGCCATATCCTAGAAAATCCACATAGCTTTTCTCAGTCCTGTGTTGTATCCTCAGAGGTTCACATGTGAAAGTTCAGAGCCAAAGATCATCATCTCAGAATCTTGTGACACCATCAGCCTGATCCAGAAATTCCATCACATTTACAGGATTAAGTGAGAAATTTCAGATTTCTTTGTGGCTTTCAAATTTGATTTGCATGCTGCTTTCAGGCCCTCAATAATCATTACCTTTCCATGTCTCTACAACTCCCAAGGGGATCTCCAGCAATTCTCTGAGTGGGTATTGCATCATAAATATGTTGAGTTAACAAAGTTACATACTAAAGAAGAAAAATAATTTCCTTTTTGAGGCTGGTAAGGAAAGACAAGTACTTCCATAATATTCCACACACAAATTCCAAGAGAAAATATCCATGAAAGACTTCTACATGGAACGCAAAACAAGCCATGCACAGAAGTAGCAAACAGATTTGAGCAACCAAAACATAATGTGCTGTTTGGTGTGTTCTAAACAAACTGTACAGAGAAGTAAAAGGCAGATTCTCTGTTTCAAATGCACAGGTGATACCCAGAGCCAGCAAGGATCTACTGATAAGGATTAGCCCTCCTGGTTTTGTTCATGCTGCTTCTTCAATAGTCAGGGCCTCACAGCTGGTGGAAGGATGAAAGCCTGGCTCTATTATGTGCTAAAATATTCTAGAGATACATCAACTATGATATTTCTGCTTATATACAAACAAAAAGAAGAAGTACAATGGAATTACATCCCTTTCAGACAACACACCCTCAGTAATAACTAGTGTTGTTACTTCCAGGGCAACTATTTTGCAGGGTGTTTCTCAGGCCTGATTTCATCAGCATCTCTGACTTTTCTTTTTTTTTTCCCTCCAAATTAACTGCTACTACTATACTAGTTAGCAAGTCCTAATAGTTAAATCCCTAGAGATATAGGTTGGACAGAATTTAAGCAGTGAAGAAAGAGAGGTTCTATTTATTTACCAGTTCATGCTTAACAATTATGCCAGCCAGACCTAAACACTATCAGCTTATAAAAGATTTGCTAATTCTGGCTACAGCCCAGTGTGTAGGCACCTTCACAGGGAGATGCACACAAGGTTAGGCTGTGAATGTCTTCCATGTTGTTGACTTCTACTGTATTTTAATTTTTTCCACCTGATTGCGAACTCCAATGCCCAGTTATATTCAATATTATCAAATAATGTTTTCTCTTCTTAAATTTTGTTTTTTAAAAAAGTTCTTTATACCTTTCTGACTGGATGGAAAGCTGATTGCTGGAGTGTCCTTGCAGGGGAGTGACTGCTGACACTGGCTTCTTCATCTAGTGACTGTGACAGGAAGGGACTATCACTTTTGTCAAGAGAAATGGCAGGCTTCTGGGCATCAGGTTCTGTGGAGCTCTCAGAGACCTACAAATCACAATTAAGAATTGGTGTTTTCAACATCTTAGAAAGAAAAGTGGCAATAAATTTAGACCAATTCACAGCATACACATTATGACAAGCCTGAAAAGACTCTACAACAACAGAGATGTTTGAAGTAATCGTAAGTAGAAAATGAATAAAGATTTCTCTCAAACATTAACAAATTTATAAAAAAAAAAAAAAGAGTTGAAATCGAGAGTGAGACTACTGCAGTCCTGCAGTTTCCTGTTTACTAGGAAGTAAGGAGGAATGATGGTGCTTTTATTCTCTCATATGCTGCTCAACATGACTATTTAGAGTTTCAGACCTTTGGGATCTGGGTTCTTTATGCAGCACTTTACAGAAAATTTTGGCCCAATCTGCATGAGGCATAAAGCCTCTGCTGCATACATATACAAGACAACAATAGAAAGTTCAAACAAATACAAGAAATGTCAAAGGTGTCTCCCATTCTGAGCTTACATTGACTAAACACAATAGGAAAGAATTTTTAGAGAACTTACATGTGCTTCATCCTGGCTTTGTTGCTGCACTGGGGCTGGCTGCCTTACTATGTAGTTGATTTGACCAACTATGGTCTGTTGAACGTGCTGAGGTGGCTTGGCTTGGTTCAGCTGCAAGCTGGACTGTCCCTGGGCCTGAAGAAGAAGTTCCAGATCCTTTTTCATCTCTTCCAGTTCAAACTGGTGGTGCATGATGTCCAGGCTCTGTTGGATGACTTGCTTGTGGGTGCTCTCACTCTGACCCGATGGTGGTGATGGCAGAGACAGCTGCTGCTGCTGTGGGGGCGGCTGCAGCGAGTGGTTGGATTTTATCTTCTGGAGGTGACCGAGTTGCGCTTGCCCAGCCGATGCCTGCAGAGAAGCCTGTGTGCGGAACGGCTGTGGGTGGCTCGGGTGAACTTGCTGAGCCTCATGGGACGCAACAGCATAACCCAGGGGTGCAGTTTGCTGCAGCTGCTGGGGTGGTAAGTGCTTCCCCATCCTCCCAGATGCATTCTCCGGCTCGGACCGCGACTGCTGTTCCAGCCCTGACTGCGTCAGCTTCACGGGCTGGGGGGCACCCCTTTGCTCTTTGTCCAGTTGCTGCTGCAGGCTGTACTGCAGAGGGAAGTGCTGCTGATGCATTTCGGGAGGTTGTCGAAAATTTTTATGGTGGTTTATGTCCTGGTAAGAAGGCTGAGCTTTGTCTGGGTGTGGAATGCTGAGGCAGTGTGAGCAACACACAGGTGCAGAACACTGAACTGCGGGTGGAAATGGATGTGCCTGGCTATTCACAGGCTCCAGCTGTGGTGCTGATGAATGGTGCCCATGGTACAAAGAGGTTTGTAACCCTTGAACATTTCCACAGAGTAGCATATCTGAGTGAGAAATGTGTCCACCTTCCATTGTGAAACCTCCTGGAAAAAAATGACAAATTTACTCTCTCCAATGGTCTTGACAAATTTACACGATAAAAATTGGAGACAAGGAAATGACCATCATTCACATTTCATATATAAAAGATACTAAAATATCCCGTCTAAACAGTCTGCCAACATACATTCAAGACAAATTTTTCAATATTTTTCAGTGATTTCAAAGCATAGCAAACTCCTACTGATGTCAGTGGAACTCATGGTTGAATTACACAGCAAACACTTTGAAAAATTGACCTTACCTTATTTTACCTTAAATTATGGATATGGCTCATACTTTCATTTTTTACTAAAGGATGAGCTTATCCTCTCATCCATAAACACAGGTACACAAGACAGCTTCCAGGGTAGAAAGTGACAAAAATAAGAGATTGATATTGCACAGGTGAGACTCATAAAAGCTAGAAATAGAAGTGACCTATGAAATGATCTTGTCCATGCTTTTAGTCAAAAGAAGATTACTCCCTGCAACACTTTTGATAGTGTTTTACCCCATTTAGTTTTTAATATGTTAAAATGGGAAGAGAACTGATCTTTTAGATCATTGATCAGTCTGCTGAACTGAATTTACTGTAAAAACCCACAGCAGCTGGGAAACAAAGTCACAGAATGCACATCTGTTATATAAATAATTATTATGTAGTCAGTGTCCTAAAGTCATCTCTGTGTCCATTAATTGTAAGTGTCTCAAGATTGCTCAGGTCCCTTGGCCACTAAGATACTAAAAGAATCTGACATGTAATGATGTCTTTTAATAGATGAATTGATATAACTAGAGGGAAAACAGCTCAGCTACATTAGCATTTCTTCAGAACAAGACAAGACTTTCAAAACTGGATGTCAAAACAAAAAAAGGAGAGCCCTTTCAGGAAAGTACTGTATTGTCTATATCTGTGTAGTCTAGCTTTGGGCACTTGCCTAGTATATTTTTCTTACCCATATTGGATAGTTGTTTAGTCCAGTAGGAGGGATCCCAGGTGAATCTGATCTTCAGAGGAGGGCCTATGTCTGTGTTACAGTTTGTCTCTAATAAACGCTGGATCTGAAATACAATCTGGTGACAAATCAAAGGATGATGCTTTTATTCACAATTATAAGATCATGAAAAATGTATTATTTGAGAAACATGAAGTCCTTAAAACAGTTCTCACAATTACTGCCAAATAAGTATTGCTCTTACCAGTTCTTTACTGAAGAGAAATGGGATGCTGCTTTTACTGCACACAGCCCAGCTGATGAAGTTCTGAACATGTTCTACCTGTCTGCCTAAAACCACAACGCCTTGCAGTTGTTGCTCCAATTTCTGCTTCCTTTCACTGGTGATCTTCTGTTAATAATGTGAATCAGTAGAAGACAGATGTCAATTCTTCAAACACCCATATTGCATACAATCACTGGCACTGCGTTATGCATTATTTCCAGCAATACTGTTGTTTAGGCTCTTTTTAAACCAGCAATCATAAAAGGAAAGAAAATCCTACTCAGGAGATATGTCTGAATTCGGGAAGAGCAATGACTTCCCCAGGAGCAAACAATCTGCATTATTCTGGCCTCGATTTAGCAGATTAATGTAACCCAAGAAAGCTGTAGAAGTTGGATCAAAATTGCACCTGGACCACTTTCTTTGCTCTTACAATACACAACAGCAGAGACTCCAGAAAGAATACACAAGAGGAAGCATGCACCATTTCCTCGGAACAGTCTTCCGGTCTCCATGATTTAGGGACCACAAAAACGGAGTCTACATTAGCAGCCTCGGTGTATTTTTCTATTAATTTCTCTAATTGCTTTTGAACCCATGCACAGCATATAGCAACTTGGAGTTTCACACTTATTCACCATTTATGTGAAGAACAACCTGTCCTTGTCTGATTTGAACCTCGTACCTGCCAATTCCATCCAATGCCCCCGCAATGCACTTCAACTGAGCACTGCAAATGCATGCACAGTTCAGCTGTGGTTATAGATAACTCAGACAAACACTGAAATGTTGTCAAAATACATGAACATTGAATTTACTTAATGCTTAAAAAAAGATAAAAATGATAACATAAATTCCTCTTTGCAAAGCTACTTAGCTGAGTAACCACATTTGAATAAAAATACATAAGTTTCAAGGTAGCCAGCCCATGCTGAGTGCCTTGCCTTTCCTGTACCTGCTAAAATGACCCAAGAATAAGCAAGAACTGGAAACTCTGATCAGCAATTTTTGTGCTCAGTACATTTCAAAATAAAATCATATATATATATATATTTCAACTGGATTCCAAAAATTGAAGAGTTAAAACTACTGGGTCTGTTGCAGAAAGCAGACCAAAGAATCATTTTTGAAACAGGATATTAATTCTGCTGCTATTGGGCTTCTACGAATTAGACATTAAAAACAGAAGCTGGTTTGTTTTGTAGGTACTCAAAAGGTGCACACATATTCTCTGTAAATGCATTAGAAAATGTGGTTGACTCATGATAAGCAAACATTTTGTCACTTCACCCTGAATCTTTGTCAACTATTGATTCTACATAAAATTCTGCAGGAAAAAAAAAAGAAAAGAAATATTTGAAAATATAAACAAAGGGGCAATAGCTCTCACAGTCTATATTCTTTCCATTGGCACTGGGGTTAAATTTAATTTAGTTTAATTTCCCAAGGTATCAAATAAACTAGCCTTACTTACTTCAAGTTGTTCAAGAAGGATGTTTGTTCGTTTATCGATTTCATTCATCAGAACCATCTTGGCCATTTTTATTTGGTTTTCTACTTTTTTGTACAAATGTTTTACTTCAAGCAACCTATGGGTAAGAGATACACATGCCTGAATGAGTCAACTGATATGTCATTTATTCATAGTTTGGTAGTTATTTGTTACAAGAACTGATTTAACTGTTGATGGAAATCCAATGCAAGTTGTATCATTTCCCATTAGTTCTCTCACACTTCTCTTTAAACACAGAATTATAAAATGTTTTGGGTTGGAAGAGAACTTCGAAGGTCTTCTAGTTCAAACCCCCTGCAATGAGCAGGGACATCTTCAACTAGATTAGGTTGCTGAAAGCCCCATCCAACCCGGCCTTGAATGTTTCCAGGGGTGGGGCATTCGCTACCCCTCTGGGCAACACATTCCAATGTTTTACCACCTTCATCATAAAACTGTTCCTCCTTCTATCTAGTCTAAGTCTACTTTCTTTCAGTTCAAAACCATCCCCCCTTGTCCTATTGCAAGAGGCCCTTCTGAAAAGTCTGTCCCCATCTTTTTTAGAAACCACTTCTAAGTATTGAAAGGCCACAATAAGGTCTCCATGAAGCTTTCCCTCCTCCAGGTTGAACAACCCCAGCTCTCTCAGCACATCCTCATAGGTATTCCACCCCTCTGATCATCTTTGTGGCATTTCTCTGGAACTGCTCTAACAGGTCCACATGTTTCTGGTGCTGAGGACTCCAGAGCTGGACGCAGTACTCCAGGTGAGATCTCACCAGCGTGGAGTAAAGGGACAGAATCACCTCCCTCGACCTGCTGGCAACACTGCTCTTGATGCAGCCCAGGATACAACTGGTTTTCTGGGCTGGAAGCCCACATTGCCAGTGAATGTCCAGCTTTTCATCCACCAGTACTCCCAAGTCCTTCTTCAGGGCTGTCCTCAATCTCTTCATGCCCCAACCTCTCTTGATACCAGGGGTTGCCCTGACGCAGGCGCAGTACATTGCACTTGCCCATGTTCAACCTCAGGAGGTTCACAGGGGCCCACTTGAGCTTGTCCAGGTCCCTCTAGATGGCATCTCATCCTTCAGGCATGTCGAGTGCACCACTCAGCTTGGAGTCAGCTGCAAACTTGCTGAGGGTGCACTTGATCCCACTGTCTCTGTCATTGATGAAGATATTAGACAGTACTGGTCCCAGTCTGACCCCTGAGGGACACCAATTGTCTCGTCTTCATCTGGACATTGAACCTTGACCACTGCTCTCTGGAAGTGACATGCTTATGCTGATTGATTCGCGCAAGCATCATGCCAAGAACAGTCTTAAGTTCTTTGTCAACAAATACACACAGAATACATTCAAAAAACTTCCACTTTATACTAGAGTATAAACAGTACAAATAGATTTGTACTCTTTGAAGGTGTTTGAAATGGTTTCATTAATGCCAAAGAGAGATCCAACAGCTACTAACTGCATAACCAGTAGCTGAAATCCAGTTCATATAATTAAATATTTTCATTTTTGTATTAGTCTTGACTGCATTGCAGCTTGTTTTCAGGTTTCTTTAAGAAATAAGGTATTTTAAAAATTATCTTTATTCCTAATATTTTCAAATTCTAGTTCAGAACCAGATTATACCAAAAAAAAAAATCTTATCTCTGAAGTCAGCTGTCACATGCCTTATAAAGACTACGGAATCATGTATTACAATACCATGACTTGTCAGCACCACTCAAACACAAATTTGATATTTTTAATCTTCCTATTATTTCCTATCCTCCAAGAAAAAAAATATAGCAGCTGCACTTAATTCTGTTAACCTACATTTAGTGAAAATAATATTTTTGCAAATCACCCACTTTCATGGGTGATTTAATAATGCATAGCAATTACCTGTCTTCAATCTGTTTAGCTGAAACCTGAATCCCACTTTTTTTCTCTTCCACTTTGGTTACAACATTTTCCAGAATAACTCTCTGGTTTTGCAGAGCTTCCTCAAGATGTCTGAACCTGTAAAAGAAGGGGAAATTCTCACACTATGTTTTTCCATGTTCATAAATAAACAACCTATCAGTTGATGAGTTTAGGGGACCAGCTGCCTTAATACCTGTCTGGACGTGATGCCCTGCTTCTTTTCTACTACAGGTGCTCTCTGTGGCAGCTGAACCTTATCAAACCTCATACAGGCAGGCTCATGTCACAAAACATATCCCTGTCTATAAACAATTCCTTACACGGCTCACACACTTCCACAGGCAAGCAGCATGCTTGAGCTTGGTAACTCAGGTCTTGTACAGTCATGAAGTCCCTGGTAGAGACAAACATAAGAACTTGAAACATGCTCAGAATAGAGTTCAACTTGTGCCTTTGAGCACAGTCATGAGGAACTCTCTGCATACACAGCACCTGGGTAGACAGTACAGTTGGAAAGGTACACAATGCTGAGAGCAGGGAGTGCCCCTGTGAGGGGGCTACACCACCTGGACATAAGACAACTGAACTGAGTTTGCTGTGGCTTGTAAGTTCAGACCAGCCTGCAGCATCAGCTGACAGGAAACACAGATGAAAAGTCTTAGATACCAATTAGCTACAGTTTTAGCCTTGATTATGATTAAGCAATGAGCGTGTGGTACCTGTGTTCCTTATGCTCTGCCAGAAGGCAGCTGCGGCAGGTCAGGGTGTCGCAGGTCTCACAAAACAGCCTGAGTGGCTCTTGAGTGTGCACTGGACAAAATAAGGAAAACTCGCTTGCTTCATCTTCAGTTGCTGAGGGAAATAAATAAAACAATGGTGTCATTGACAAGGACTACTGTTAGGGTTCAGAAAAAGAGTAACCAAACTCACAATTGTATGGAAAGTCTTGATATTTTTAAAAGGAGCAGAACTGGAACCATCCGATTATATGAAGCAGGGATTGTTTATATTTTTTCCTGGCCTTATATGTCCTACAAACTGAGCACATCAGAGGGGGTCAGAAAAAGAGGCATCAAAACAAATTCATATTGTCCTCCAAATTCTCATGAGTTTTAAGTATCTCTCATGATTTGGTGCACTTGCCTCACAACTTTGAATGCCCTGGTCTGGCAAATCACTCAACAAAACTGGACTGTAAAATGTAGAATTGCAAACATATTATATAAACCTGCAGTCACAGCAGAAGAAAGGAAACCTTTTGTTCTTAAAAAGTCATATGAGCAATTGTTTCTCAAATTTGTGTTTGGTCCAATGCAGTTTATAAAGTTCAGCAGCTAGGGTTGATATCAGGCCCTAAAATCCATTTTTAAAAGGATTTTCTAAAGAGTAGTGTGATGAAGAGTAAGAATGGACAGTGGATATGCAAAGTGGAAGCATTGCTTCTGTACAATCTATTCTTGCCCTCTTTCCTGAAGGGTAGAATTGTTTCAGAAAAAAAAAAAAAAAAAAAAAAAAAAAAAAAAAGAAAAGCTAAACTATGGCAAAACAAACTCTGAAATTAGATATTCACAAGTACATCTACATTAACAGTTAAGGCCAAAGGTCTTTTCTTGGACCCAAAAAGCACAGATTCCAGAGCCTAATTTTATTAACCAATGTAAGGACAGGCCATCACCATTACTGGTGAAAAATATTGTTTTCTCAAAATGAACAGAAAGCACAAGCTCGGGTACAGTGACAGATTTATGCAGGTCAGTGTTCAAATCCTGTGTCCACAGAACCATCAACGTTATTAGCACACTGGAATACATACAGGGACAACAAGAAAAATCACATGATTGGATCCTCAGAGTACTCCAACAAAGACACTATCCCATTATTGCTTATCAACACGTGAGAAACTAAATAATGCAATCATTAGATAACAAATATTGATAAAAACTTAAAATTATACAAAAATATTATTTATGTATCATTTGCTCATAGATCATCCTCTCATCCTGTAGCAAAATGGAGCCTTTTATGGAATCAAGCTTTTGAAGTGATAATATTACAATAACAAACCCACAGCATACAACAAGCTATACTGACTCAGTCACTTCAAACTGGAAGAAGTGACAGAGAAGCCACAACAGAGAAGTAGAAAGGCTAAGAAAATCTGATGGCTGACAATGAGAACGAAAATAGGGAGAAAATCCGTGCCACGCTCTAAAACAACACATCAAATTGCCTAGTTTTGAGATTGTTATCTACTCTAAATATTTCTAAGAAGGTTGATTTATTTCCTCCAGTTCAATTGACTTTCCTTCCGCCTTCTTAACAATGTGCAAGAAGATAATTTGTGGCAGATTAGGCTGAGATTTTATGTAACAGCATTACATAGTTTACATTGTTATGAATTATTTATTGCAGTATCATGTTTTATTCTTTGGGGAAGTTTATTGGTTTATATAATTATTAAATCAAATGCTAATAGATAGCATTATTAAAAGAGAAAATTAGATTAGATTTTTTTATTCTTCTCCAGTACTTTCTTCTAGCAAGGTATAAACTGAACTCACCTTCAAAGCAATATTTTTTCCTGATTATATTGCAAACGTACTTTTATATTAAAACCTGCAGCTGCCATTGCAAATAATATGTAACAAGGAGGTTGTATAACCAATATATAGCCAATATGGATGTCAAAGACCATCTTTTCCTCCCTTATAGGATCAGATTTTACATCTTAAAAGGAAAAGGAAAAGACCATAATAACTATCTCAAGATTCATGGGTTGGAAAAACCTCTGGAAGTGTTTAGCATCTACAAAGCATACAAGCTGTTTTTCTGAAAACTCAAGATCAAATTATTCATATTAAACTCCAGCTTATGATGAGATGCTGTCTTTAAGGTCTGTGTATAATGAAGCCTAGTCACAATCTTATATAATGATTTCTCCATTTTTCTCTCTGTAAAGGGTTCTTTACCCTTTGGTGATTGTAATCATCCAAGAGAAATCAGTGGGATTTCTTTAGTACCATGTCAGATTTAAGAGACAGGCAGATTCCAAATGCAAACTAAAGATAAAATCAGTGTTATCTAATTACAACACAGACCCACATCCTCTGCCACTAGTAATCCCCTGCCTCAATTGACATGTCAGTGAAAACTGCCACTGAGCTGTGGTATTCTTGACCTACTTTACTTACACTCTGAGCAACACTCTTCAGTTTAAAAATAAGTTTAATACTTAGAAATCAGGTGCTAAACAAGGGCAAAAGCCTGGTTTTTTCTAGAAACATATACCTTGACCACAACTATCCATGTTAGTTTCTTGATAAGAACCTCATTTGATGAAAAGGGAAAGCTCAGTTGCCCTAAATTCCGATAATTCATCATTTGAGTCACCATTTTCTACAGCCTATATTTTCTTTATCTCAGGTGTATCTCTCGAATAATTAACAGAAAGTTTTCAATCTCTCTTCCTCTAACCAGTTCATGTCAACTTTGGAAAAGCAGTCTCATCTTAGCTAATACAGTTCTCCCTCCACTTGCATAAATCGCAATGGCTCAAACTTTGATTTTGTAGGTTCATGCTTAGCCTTGAGAGACTGAAAGAAAAGGATAGTATAGCAAAGAGAAAATTATTCAATTTGTGCACTAGCCTGTACATAGCTGAGATGTCAGTACCAGATCATTTACCCCAACACAGTTTTGACAAAAGGATTGTTTCTTCTCAGTTGCAAAGCACAAATTTCCATATAACAAGGAAAGAGTCTGTACCTAATGTTCTTTTGAGAAAGCTGGGACTAAGGGAGCTTCTGGTTTTGTGACTTTAAGCAGTTCAAGAATTTTGAAGAACTTTGAACTTAACTAATTTAACTTATTGCTAGTGTTAATACAGAGCCCTCCAGTGAAATGTTCATTCTTCAGAGATTATTCCTCCAAGACTGCTGCTTGATCTGCCACAAAGCTTTGGCTCATGATGCCAGCATCTAGTTCTCCAGTGCTCATCAAATTCATTCCAGAAGCAGATTTCAAAATTTTGACGTCTTGTGGTCACAGACCCAGAAACTTTTCAAGGCTTTTTTGTTTTGGTTTGGTTTTGTTTTTTTTTTGTTTGGGGTTTTGGGTTTTTTTGGAGGGTTTTTTTTGTTTTCAGTTTTTTCCTAAGTCTCAGGAAACATCAGTGTGTGTGAAAAACAGTAAGTAGTACAGTTTAACTCATCTGTGAATCACCTCTCATCATCTCTTCATGTTCATAACCAGCAGTAATTGTCTGGCACTCAAAAGAGAACTGCAATTTTTGATAGTACCTCTAGAAGTGGTTCAGCTAACAAGAACACAGTAGAGCAACTACACAACATATAAGTGATAGTGGCAAACTGGGGGGGGGAGTAGGGAGATGGGAATCACAGCACTGTCCAGTGTATGTTATACTTCTGGTTTTATGCTTAAAAAACAAGGTCTTGTGGTAGAAGTTCAGTAACACTCTTAGCTAATCAACTGGGACTCAGAACACTCCCAAAACTTTCCATTCCGGCTCTCAAGAAGCACATTCAAAACAACGAACTCTAACTAGCACATGCACACATCCCCACCTCCAAGCTACCAAAAGGCTATGGAAGTGATAATAATAAAGTAGTTTCATAAAGATGTTTCCAAAAAGAAAGCAATTTCCAATACCAATACTTCTTGGCATTTCCAATACCAAGAAGCCCTCTCAGGGAATCCCCTACCATCAGTAGTCATTTTGTGGGCCTTTATTTAGACTCACAAAGGATGAGACAGTAGACAAAATGAAATCAGGCTACTTTAAAATTGTTTTCCTCTTATAAAATATCGCATTTTTCTGGCCCAGCGCAGTCCTGCCTCTCCCCATGCCCTTAGCATCTAAATACAAATTTGAGTGAAGAGTAAATTCTCAAAAATTGGATGAAGTTGGCACACTGCTCTGCACCACAGCCTCAGGAGTCATCAGGCTAAGGATGCTGCTGGGCATCCAATTCAGCCATTCAGCTGTGTGGTCTGGATCTCACTCAGCAAGCAGTGGATGGCCCAGGAAGGAAGCAAGAGGATGTGCCAGTGTCACTGGAAGGGGAATTCTGTCAGAGAGCTGCAGGCTCTGCATGGCAGGGGGTGATCAGATGTATTACACTGAGCACAGATAACACGAAAAAGCAGAAAAGTCTCCCGGGGAAGCCAGGCTCCTCTAGTTCTGTCACTCAAGGAAGAAATTGTTTACCAAAATTAATAGAAATAGGGATGATTAGTGAGGGGTTTTTCCTACTTTACTTCACTTCAGATCCAGGATATCTTACATTTTTCGGATGACAAAAGAAGGTCTGGCCCTTGTAAAGCAAATTGCAAATGATAGAACAGTTTAAAGGTGCAAGATCTCTCAATTGTTGCAAGGGTTTACAAAGAAGGTGACTTGTTCAGAAGCACCTTACACAGAATGAAGATAGCAATTGAATCTCAAAGCAGAGCATGGTTTATTTCCAGAAGCCAAAAAAAACCCAAACCAGCAGTCTAAGCTCAAGTATTTGCTTTCTTTGAAGTATTCTCAGGGGATATCTGTCCTAAATAAATAAAATATATAATAATAATAATGCACAGATTACATTCCAAATAATTTTTTGTATTAACTAGCCTATATGTGCACTACCAATCCCCTTGTTCATGGGGTTTTTTTCAGCATATAGAATTTAGCACTAACCTAAAATTCTTTCTCATCTTATGCGTTTGCATCTTTTTATTTATATACCACACACAAACCCACAACTAAGTCACACATATATTTTCTTACCAGTATTTGTCAACAATATGAGTTAGTAATCTTAGATAAAGTGAAATGAAATTATAAACAGTTGGAGCCTCAAAACCACAGTCCTTATCTTGTCATCAACTCAAGAAGAAAGACATATTGTCCATCCAATCAGGGCATTTGAGAGAGGACGGGGGGACTTCAGTTTATATTATTCTCTAGAAAAAGACCCAAAAAACATTTAAATATAATCTGTGCTTTTTTATTATTACCATTCTTACAGAATTTTTTTTTTGGTTACACCCTATTTGGCAAAGGCATATCATGTCTCAAGTGCCTCAAACTCTGTTTGATGTGACCACCCAGTGCTTAAAAGAACTCCATCTATGGCAAGTACAAAGTACAAGCTTCCACAAGAAAAATCCTAAAGAAAAAAATTAAATAAAAAGTATAACTACTTGGCTATATTTATTCCTTTGTCTGTCCTTCATCTTCCTTATGAAGAAGGAAAGCGCAGAACAAACTCTCTAGCACAAATAAATTCATACCTTAGCAAAGCGTAAACTTAAATCACTGTATAAAATTGAAAAATTCTTATTTCAGGTTACAAATTGCTTACATAAGTTTAGGTTAGGATACTCCACAGCAGATTTCTGGCATATGAGTAAAGAAAATAAGGAGCAGTAATAGGAGATGGTAATACTTTCTGTGGATCATCATGGCACACGGATGAGACATATTTGCCAGTGGGTTTCATTTATGCTTGCTCATGGCAAGATACACTCAGGACATATGCTTTTCCCTCCAGGCTTAGAAAAGGAACATCCTGTGGTGATCACAGCCTTTTGCTGTCTGTGACTCCCTCATACACCTTGCCCACGTGCACAGGAATTGCTTTATCATAGTTTTCTGAATGAAATTACACAAAGGAGGACAGAAATACTAAAAGGGCAAGGCCTGTTGCTCTTGTAGCCTTCCTCACTCCACATATTGGAAAGGTGTGTGGAGAAGATCATACCTGTGAAACACAAATATCCAAACTTTTTCTAATACTGTGGAATACTGATTGTGGCAATAGCCTTAAAGTTGGAGAAAAATCACATAATCTCTCGTTGACAGGTACATAACCTTCTGAGTCAAGCAGCCAGGGCATGGTGTCTGTGGCACAGAGCCTGCAACTACTCCTTTTTCAACTGAATAACTGACATGAGAAGAAATGAAATTTCTGTGTGTGTTCAGTACCTGTGCAGCCTTTCAGGGATACAGACAGGAAGCGATCTCCAGTTTCCTTGCCATGTCTGTGCTCCTCTGTACACGAGCTGCACAGCCACTTATTGCATCTGGTACAGAGACTGTGAGCAGGTCTCTTCTCTTTACACATGGAGCAGCTCTAAGAACAAAAAGTGCAATTACATACAAGGATAACAAATTAACTGTACAAACTTATTTTTAGTAGACCATGATTCAGACTGGTAAGCTTAATGTTTTCTGTTCTCAGACTAATGCAATTCAAGTTATCTTAAGAGTCTGGTTATGGTATAAAAGGGAGAAGAATAAAATTAAGACTTGAAGTTTTCAAATAAAATTGGTTGTCTTTCTGTGCTTTAGCACAATCAAACATGATGCAACAATTATTCAGCAAAATTCTAGTCTCCATGTTACACATGAAGTCAGAAGAAATAATCATAATGACTTGTTTCTTGTGAACTGAAAAAGCAATGAAACTATGAAATAAGACTTGTTTGATTTAAGTTAAGGAGGGTTAGGTTAAAAGTCACTTTGAAAATGAGAGGCATGCTCTATCCCTTTCTGTTAGTGCTGTAGTACTTACTGATGGCTTTAACACGTCAAATGAGTGTACATCTTACTTTTATATATTTCTGTATATATATATTTACATAGACAGACACAGATATTTTCTACCTCAGAAAAGATAGTCTAGGTTGCCCAGTAAATATGTGGAATGTTAGAAAGTCCATCAAAAAGTTTTTTAACTAGCATTTCCTTTGTAATCATAGCATTATGCAGAAGCATTTTACCACATCATTTTAGTGTCATGCATTAGTTTCTGTTTGTCACTAATTATTTATTAAGGAACGGAAAAAAAAGTTGGTTATTTCTGCTTTTGTGTATGTGAAAGTAAATTGGAGCTATGTCAGCAGAGCTACTCTAAATCTATACTGCTTTATTTAAAATTAGAGTTTACTCTATTTGCTTTAACACTGTACAAACCACTCTTATCAACTCATTGTTCAAGAGTTTCTAAATATTCACAATTTTTTTCTAACAGATTGGGCAATTCTTGACAATAAGACAACAAAGCAAAATTTCAAATGTGTTTAATTGTCTAGAGAGGGAACTGTCTGTGCAAGCCATTCTGCTATTTTAGCCATTTGCTTATCAACATTTTTTTTCCAAAAGGTACATGTCATAATTTAAACCAAAAAAGCCTAATAAAACTTACATAACCAAAATGCAAAGCTATTTATGCTTGGGAGCAAAGCTGGTTATATAAAAAGAAGTGTCTAATTTAAAATGTAGGCCCATCAAGGGCCAGCTTAGGGATCAGGTCAAAAGTTGAGTGATGCTCTTCCTTCTCTGCAATAACCAAAACTGCTTAAACACAGGTTTACCTGTAACAGTTCAGCTGTCAGTCTGACTAGAATTTATGTTGACACTGCTCCATGTTAACATTACTTTTAAATTGTAGAGTGTTTCCAGAGTTACATTATTTATGACATGGAAATGGGCTTTTGGGCAAGAGATTCTGAACTGCATATTTTTTGAAACTCCTGCTGCTGGCATATAGCACATTCTATCATTCATACTTCACTGTCTCACACACTGAGAGACATCTTGCTTCCCTGACAGATTCCCATTTGAACACATTAGGTAAATTAAGAGAATGATGGCAGTTCATCTGTCTCAGCTAGATGACCTGGTGCTTCTCCTTTTGATGTCACCGATGGTGAAACTATGGCTTTAATTTGGGGGCTGATGGTAGTGGTTAAAGACAGTAAGCAAGCTACATGACTTGACTGTTAATAAAAAGGAAGTAAGCCAACGACTATGAGAATTTGCTCTAGGGTACTCATATGCTCCAGTGAGAAATATGCTTTACTGAACAGCTCTTAGGGCTCCTAAGGGATTACAGAAAAGAAAAACCTTCTTTTAAAGATGGTTTGAAAAAAAATAATCTAGTGCTTTTGAAGACATTAGATATTCTCATTTGATTTCCTTTCTACACAAATTGTCATTGAAAAGTAAATGATGCGAGTCACAGTAATTAAGAAATCCCAGTATAGTAAGTGCATTTTAAACGTTCAGCAATATCTCATGCATTTGCTTCTTCTCTTTGAAGAGTGCATGTGAATAGACCCCTTCTTGCTTTAGATCAAGTTATGTGGCACTCTACAAGCAACTTATACTTGAGGATGTCAATACACTTTGCTTGTATTGACTTTATTTCCCCAGAACATTTCATGGATTAGGTTACACATTATTTACTTTTTAACAATAGAAAAAAATGAAACACAGAAATGACTGACAGGCACTCAGCAATAGGACAAGGGGGCACGGGCTTAAGCTCCGCCAGGGGAAATTTAAGTTGGATATCAGGAGAAAATTCTTTACAGAGAGAGTAATCAGGCATTGGAATGGGCTGCCCAGAGAGGTGGTGGATTCACCATCCCTGGAGATTTTTAAACGCAGATTGGACGTGGCACTGAGTGCCATGATCTAGTAAATGGACTGGATTTGGACCAAGGGTTGGACTCGATGATCTCGGAGGTCTTTTCCAACCCAATCGATTCTATGATTCTATGAAGTGCATCCCCTCTAGAACTTTTTCCAACCATGTCGCTGGGAAAGTCATTGTCTCAATTTAAAGAGGTCTCAAGCCTTCTGCGTGGGACAGAACCATTGCTACAAATTGTTGCTGCCTCTACAGAGGTTAAGTGGAGTGGAAAGACATTTTCCTTAATGTAAGAAAGAGGATAAGTGTTCACCTCCACCCAAAGTTCCTGAAACTGAATATCCAATATGGCTATCTAGCTTCCTTAGGAATCAAAAGTGCAAAAGAGACAGACTAGGCCCAGAAGCTGGTGCAGAAGGTGAAGTCCTGTATCCCTGTTCCTTTGTTACTCTTCCCTTGCTTTGGACCCCATTTTGTATAAAACAGCCAGCCGACTACAGAATAATTTTGACAAGTTCTCACCTCTTTTAACTCCCAGCTATAGGTAATACTATCACATTCTGAAATCAATCTTGCTCCTGTTTTGTAACACAGGGGAAAGAGACACACCTTTTTCTGTCCTTTGTCCCTCCTGTCAACCCAAAGTAGTGGCAACTACAAAACTGCAAGAATAGTCCTGCCTATTAACTGGGTATTTAACAGAAGTGAAATCCATCTAGGTACAGTATCAATACAAGGCCAAGGTAGTAATCCTTTTTGTCTTCTGATTACCCTTTGAATCCATTCCCCAATGGGAAAATGCAATGTGATGTGGTTTTTTTATCATTAAAACAGACAATCAGAAAATTATAATTGCCCACACGATCTAATGGGTAATATTGTTGTAACCACTCAGTCAACAATCTGCTGCTGTGGCCAGCAGATCAAGGAGGCAATCCTCCCCCTCTGCTCAGCCCTAGGGAGGCCACATCCAGAGTACTCTGTTCAGTTCTGATCTCCACAGCTCAAAGAAACAAGAAGCTACTAGAGAGGGTCCAGTGGAGGCCACAAAGATGATGAGGGGTCTTGAGCATCTCTCCTATGAGGGGAGACTGCGGAAACTGGGCATGAGAAGACTGAGATGGGACCTCATTAATGCATATAAATATCTCAAAGGGGTGTCAAGGGGATGGTGCCAGACTCTTTTCAGTGGTGCCCAGTGACGGAACAAGGAGCAATGGACAAACTATAACACAAGAAGTTCCATCTCGACATGAGGAAGAACTTCTTTACATTGAGGGTGGCAGAGCACTGGAACAGGTTGCCCAGGAAAGTCATGGAGTCTCCCTCTCCGGAGACATTCAAAACCCACCTGGACACGTTCCTGTGCACCTGCTCCAGGTGACCCTGCCTTTGTGGGGAGGTTGGACTGGGTGATCTCCAGAGGTCCCTTATAACACTGACTATTCTGTGATTTTTTTACTTTTTGTTGAGAGCAGAAAGAGGGCAATGAGGAATCCAGGAGTTTCAGTATCTTCCTAATATATTGATTATGGTAGATACAGTAGGATCAATATTTTTAATTGGCTATTTGAAATATAGAGAGTGAAACTCATTCTTCAACTGAAATTCAAAAAGTACTATGAAGTCAGTATGTCCATCTCTAATAGTGAAGTAATTCCAGTGTTGCCTAAGCAAACTGTTGAGTCTGTTGTTCAAAACAAAATTTGCTCTGTTTTCAATGTTCATCTGGTACTGTTTCAACAACCCACAAGGCAACCAACTTTGTGGTTTTCACTTACCTTTGCCATGGCTGAATCACCAGTCGGAAAGTCCTTGAGGAAGAAATTCTCAACTACATCCCTTGCAAAGCAGGTCTGTTTGCACACAGGACAGGAAAGGATACCTGAATTTTTAAGAAAAGAAAACCATCACAAATAAAACAATGCACATCAGCCCTGTGAACCAGGAAATTATACAAACCACACTTCAGTATTGCGGTTTTTATATCTCACGTGGGCAGTTCCAGGAAACTAAGGCATCCTTCAAGCCCTAAGTTACATGTGGCTAGATCTAGTTCAATATATAGAAAAGAAAAACAAAGCAACAAAATCTCTAGAAAAACACTACAGTTCAGTTGACTTATTTCAATATTTATCAATTACATCTGTATGTCCAAATTAATTCATTAAGGCTTACAGATTTCATTAAAAAGGAGTTGCAGTTTAAAATGTATTCCCTTGTTACAGATCTAGTTGTGCTTTCTGATATTTTCTAAGGTTCTCCTGGGCCAGTTTTACATCACCAGAGGAACATTCAAGCATAAAACATACACTCCTTAATACTAGTTTCACGGTGCAGGATGCTATCCAAGTTAAGTGACAGAGGAGCAACATGCTGCTAGCAGAAGCAACAAGCCAGAACACAGGTAAGGGATGAAAAAAAAGTTTCATAAAGAAAAGTCAGAATTGCAAACCATCTATCAAAACATCACCACCCCTAAAGCAAAGCAAAGCAAAAAGAAGAAGAGAACAGTATGAACAGCAAAACCTGGTTTCACCATCATTATCTACTGAGCACAACTGGGATGAATCTCCGTGTCTGTCTGGGCTGAGAACCAACAGTTCAAGAAGGTGTCCATAAACGCACACCTGCATTTTTTCACCTCTGTTATTTCATTCCTTGACTTCCTGGGCTAGGACTTATATTTCTCTAGAAGTTCCAGTCCATTGATTTGGACATTTTTTTAAAAAGATAGTTCATGTTTCTGACCCCATTTCTGTAAGTTACTGTAGATGTGAAAACAGTCCTTCAGAGATGGTGGTGGTGTCTATTTTACCTTATCAAGTCTTTTTTTTATCCAAGATTTTCTGTCCTGTTGAGAGCAGAATTTCAGTGCTATGCTTATTTTGCCAAGTCACGTGTTTATGATAACTAACAGAATTTTCCATGACTAAATGGTGTAAACTCACTCAAAGTAAGATTTTAAAAACAAGATCAATGACAATATTCTTCTGAACTATGTTCAATGTGTTCTTTTTCCTTAACTAAATTTATTTTTGCATATGGAGAGTGTCTTGTAGTTAATTATACCTTAAGTTGTTTATTTCTCTTTGTATTAAATAGTTAAACAGAGACTCATGTTTTGAAGGTGCTTAATATCACCTGCTCCTTGGAATGTGGTTCCTGCAGTCTCTGACCAGATGCACAATACTAATTCTGAATTTCTCCCATTTTCACAGCTGGGTACTGTAGCTTTAACAGCAGCGTTTTACATTGACACACAAACCCCAAAACATTCCTACATTACCACTTCCGACAAGAGCACCACACAGTCAGATGTCTGAATATGTTCACTTTCATTCATGAATATTTTGAAGAAACCTTGAGTTCTGGTACATCTCCTTTGAAGAGTACACCTTACTAAGAACCACTTCCATGAGGTTAGGTCTCTTTTAGCCCAAATCTTACATAAAAGCAAAAGTATAATTGTTTACTATTTTTCAAGGTTGCATTTACAACACGGCTGTCATTTAGGGGCCCAAGTAGCAGACCATGGTGTACCTAAACTACTTGTTTAACTGTGCATTTCATACAACAGTGACTGTTCGTGTAGACACGAGAAGGAACAAGCAGTATCCACGGGCGACTGTGCAACTCAGCTACAAGTCATCCCAGGGGAAAGGGCAACACAAGCAATTGCCAATGCTCTGCTCATCTTCTGGGGGTGTAACCTGAGTCTTGTTTAAGTGTATTCTGGTGACAGGAGTTACAAAGATGATAAAAACTTATCTGATAAAGATGCCAGTGATGGCAGAAAGTTGTAGAAGTCTTTTAAACATTTCCTCTACTTTGCACCCTTAATATAAGGGGTGCAGCTGAAAAGATATCTTAATCACCGGTAATTTTTGTAGCTGATCATGTCTTCATATGTTACACTCTAGGACACCACACTAGGTCACACTGAAACCTCTCCATCTTTTCCCAAATTAGTGTGTGTGTGTGTGTCTTTTAGATATCTCTTAACAGCTCAGTTCTCTAGAGAAATGTCAAAACAGCAGGAGCACTGCAGTATGCAAGACAAGCTGTGTTACACTGTCAGTGCCCTCCTACTCCTCGGAAATGGTGCATACTACAAGCACTAGTGAATTGTAGTGCTGATTCCTAGGAGGTGAAAGTTCTCAAGTTTCCCTGTGAGCACTGTACAAAGTGCCAGAGTTGCAAGAGCAGCAGAAAGAAAAAGACAGATACATTGTGACTGAAAAGCCAGGAAGCAAGATACCTCCTTTCCAAGCAGGTTCTCAAATAAGTCTCACGGGACAAGCTCTAATTCTCCGCGTGGTTAATAGGAAACCATCTCCTGACTTCACAGAGAATCGCCTTGAGCCCTTTGAGACTTGGAAGCAGTTTCTTTCTCCCACAACAGCATTGCCCAAGCAGGGCCAGTTCTGGATCTGGCAAATGCTAAGAGAAGCCCTCCATACTGACACTACAGAATACACTGCAAATTGACTGAAGGGGAAATTATCCACAGGTTACTTTCTGAAGTAAGAAATGCATGACTCTCACAGTTACTCTTTCATTTACATGCCACACGAGTGAGCACACAATCTTACACAAAACATTTCTGGGAATAGCTGCTCACTGGGAAACAAAAACATAGAACTTTGCCATAGCAAGGACCACTTCTGTCTGCACACCACAGAAGACAAATAAGTTAACACTGAAGTTACTATTTTATTTCATTCAGTTAGTGTGGAATGTTAAATCAAATTATATCAATTGAATGATACTTAATAGAATACTTATGGCCTCAGGCATGTTCATGTGAACTTTAAATTCTGCTAATTTGTTACAAACCAGTGAAGTATAGAGTACAGTATAATTAGAATGCATTAATTTGATAATGAGCAAGACCGTCTTTTAAATGTTTTTAAATTAAAAAAATTTAAAGTGAACTTCAATACTTTTCACCCTTAGAAAGCATAAATCATGCATGGATTTCAGTTCTGCACAAAAGCCTCCTTATATATTTTGAGAAATGCAGCGGTATTAAGAAATGTGAAACAGCCAAGACTTTGAAGGTAGATGACATTACTGCTGATTACAATTTTATGATTATATGATTATGGTTACTGCCCCTATGATTAAGGGATATCCAAAAGTGATGCCCTGAATGCCACGGCACAATTTTTTTCCCCAGGTTTCATATCCAAATTATGCTACTGAAATCAGTGCTGTTCCAGAGATAGACATGGAGCAAGTTACATGCACACAGATCAGAACTTGGTATTAAACTCACTACCACAGACCATCAAGTACAGCTTTGATTGTGTAAATGTCAAAGTGTATCTTAAATATCCAGGTAACTGTAAATTATAATGATTTAAAAGCTAAAACTCCCCTGAGATGAACATAAGACATGTAGAGCCTTCAGCTCAATTACAAAAAAAAAAAAAAAAAGTTCAAAAAAAGAAGAGCATAACAGTTAACAGAAAAAATGATGGGGACACCATAGCAATACAGTATCAGAAGTTGTCTCCTACTCATAGGAGGGTTAATCAAAAGCACCTTCTTACCTGTCCTAATACTGAATTCTATCTCTAAGACTTTATTAAAAGCACAGGAGACAGATTTTCATCTTGCTAGAAGAGGGCTTACCTGGATGTGGTGGCTTGAGAGATCATACTTGTTCAGCTAATTTGGCCTATTTGATACCTTTTCCATTTAATAAAAACCTCTGCTCTCTGGAAGTGCCCAACCTTTTTCAGTATAAATTCCCCAAAGAATCTAGTGTTAGCCTGGCATAATAAACACACTGCAGAATGGTTTGCAAAGCAATTAACCTGAAATTAAGCAAACCTCACACACGTATTTACAAATAGTCACAAGCAGCAGCTACATCAACACTACAAGGGGAGTGCACTACGTTGTGCTTGTGCTCAGAGTGCAAATCACCAGTAAAGTACAATTTCCTAGAAGCCCCTTACCTGTGCTCTGGATAAACAGTTAGAGAGCCACCCACAAAGTCACCTGTATCAGGGAGCAGCTGTTAAGAGCTGCACACACAGTGTGCTCCCTGGAATCAAGCTGTGCCACGATGGAAGACTGAAGTCACTACACCTTTCATGGAATATCTGGGCATGCACCCCCTTCTTTGACCTGGAATGCTGACAAATCAGCAGGGAAGAAAGATGTACTGGGCCACTACAAGGTGCAAAGTTTTTCTCCTCTTGCCACCTTTCTTGTTCATGCCTCTCAGATTCATTCAGGTCTCTGATAACTCACCTTGGTTGTATTTTTCCTGAATAAAAATCCCATAGTTAAAATGAATACCAGTATCCTACTTCCCTTCTTGCCTGGGTCTTCTCTCAGTCCTCAGAAAAACCTGGAGCAAGTGTTCAGGTGGAAAGAGAAGAGCTTTTCCAAATCCTGATTGTAGCAGGTCTCACAATGCCATTCACTCCCACAGTACTTTTTCCAGGCCATTCCCTAAATATTTTCTTGCCTTTCTACCTTACCACTGCTTTCAAACAACACCGTTAATCTGTTTTAAGAACCTATACTTGGCAGACAGTTCATTTAAATATATCATTATTACAGCACTGTGGGTGAAGGGAAGAGTAGTCAGAAGCCCTAGAGACTCACTGTTTGCACGTATGAGAATGATGCAATTTCTGGATCTAAGCAGCAATTCAACATGGAATTACAGGATTTGAACAACAGTTTACATATTAAGAGATCAGGAGCCAAATTCAGCTATGGTGCAATCATGATGCCTAAAGAGAGTCCATTATTGATATCAAAACCTCTAGAAGAAGCAAAGAGCTGAAAGAGCTGTTGACATGCTCTATTTTTGCATGGAAATTAAATTGGCAGGAAGGAGGTAGGAACATTTGCATAAAT